TGTATAAATTGGCCCAATTACCATTAAATCAATTAAAAATAGCTAAAAAATATTATTTTCCAATTCTGGTTGGTCCGAATATGTATATTTATACTAGGTATTTAATTTATATTTTTCCAGATTTTATTTATTTTATTTACTATTTTAGTTTTAATTTTTATTGCAACTGGGCCGAACTGGGCCAAATTTTATTTTCTGGCCCAAATCTGAAAAAGGCCCAAAGTTAAACGTAAAATGGAGCAGAGGGTACGTACATGCACAGGGTCATCTTCCCCGGCAGTTTCGGCGACACAGATGGAAACGGTTGATCCCAGGCGGCCCTCATTCCGGCGGCGGTGGTTCTTCCAGCGTGCGATCGGGACGGAGGATCATTTTTGCAGCTTGGCATGGCGTTTACTTCTTTGGCGATGATAACGGCACTCGGGGCGGCACTCGACACCCCCTCCTCCGGAGGGAAGACGTACGAAAATCTCCCTCGAGGTTTGTGGGTTCCGGCAATCCAGTCCGGCGACGTACAGGTGAACCAGTCTGATGTACTATTGGGTCTTCTTCTCTAGCGAACCTGGGACACCAACTCCGGCGGTCTGCAACGGCACTCCGGCGTGAACCAATCTGGCGACGCTCCTTCCGGTGGCAGAAACTCTGGCCTCTTCTTCCGTCGGTCGTCCGGCGCGAACCAGTCCGGCGAGCATGGCTACGGTTCTCCGGCGTCCTCCCTTCTCCTTGTCCGGCGTCGCCGTGGTCTTCTCCGACGTAGCAGCTTCTCCGGTTGCAGCAAAATCCGGCGAAACTTCTCCTCCTGTCGACTGTCGTCCACCACACGCAGGGGTTTCAGCTTGTATTTTACTGTTGCGGCTACCGGCTCTCCAACGATCGTACCATGAGTATATATAAATATACACGCATGCCGAGTATATATATATATATATATATATATATATATATATATATATATATGTCTACGTATATATGGGCTGCAGCTATCATATATATATATACCTAGTTTACGTAGTTACGTAGTTAGAAGTATAATAGGAGTATAGTATATATCCTATATACTATTATTACGTATTTACGTAGGTAGAAGTATAATAGGAGTATAATTAGGTAGTAATAATACGTACGTAGGTATTTTAGTTTAGGTTTAGAAAATTATACTATGTATTATTGTACGGTCCTTCCGTATTATTTTATACGTTACATCTATTATCGGGCCATTTTTATCTGTCTAAAAATGTCGTAAATGTAAATTTTCTGTCTGGTTCACTTGTTTACTAAAATGTTATTCTTATTACTGAAATATTTTTATCTGACTAAAACATCATAAATTTTGAAATTTTTATTTGATTGGCACGTTATCACTGTTGAATTTTTGTCTGACTCAATTAATTATAAAATTGTTATTTTCGTAATATTTTATCTGATTAAAAATTATTTTTATTTTTATTTAAATTTTTGGAGTGTCACATTCCACCCTCCTTAAAAGATGTTTCGTCCCGAAACATAAACTAAAATAACCAAATTCTTAAGTGTTACATTCTATTTTTATTTTTATTTAAATTTTTGAAGTGTCACAATACCGCAATTGGAAGTGTTGTTTGAAAACTTCAAAAGAGAACGTTGGCAGTTTGATGGTGGAATGGACTGCAGTGAAGAGATAGAAATGGAAGATAATGATAAAGATGCTGAATGCAATGACAAACAGCCTGAAAAGGGAAGTGCAAAGGTGGATAAAAAGAAGAAGTCAAGGTCTCAAAAGGGTGTTGCTGTTAAAAATGTGAGTTCTGGATCAAAGAAACTGAAAAAGCAGTGCACTGGGGAAAAGAAAGATGATGATGAAGATGGTTCATTACTGACAAGCCTTGTTAAGAAGACTGATACCATGATGGCAGATATGGCAAGGATTAAGATTATCCAGAGAAACCATGGCTCATTATTGAGAAGAATACTGAAAAGGTTGGAAGGTAAACAGGTGATGACAGATGAAGGTAAGGAAGTAAGCGAAGGTGGGAACATTGAAATCAAAGATAATGGCACTGAAAAGGATGCAAAGAAGGAGAATGATAAAGAGACAGAGAAGGAGGTTGATGATGCTGGGGAATTGTTGCAGAATGATGAAAAGGAAGCAATGGCAGAGGAAGATGGTGAAAAAGATAAGGAGAATACTGAAGTGTCTCAGAATGAGACAGATTCTCAAAGACCATCCTTCAACATATTTGGTTTTTCTTCACAGGAAGAACAGAATGGAAAAAACACTGATGATGAAGGATTAGAAGACTTCAATGATGCCCGTGACAGCACTATTAAAGAGACAGTTGTTCATGACGCAACTGAGAAGGTGCATGTTAGTAATGGTACTGGAGAACAGAATTGGGAAAAGTTGAATGACAATGACACCGATTTTGATGAGGATGAGCTGCTCAAAGTGGATGAACTGGTTATCAAAACCATTCAAAAGAGCAAAGAGAAGTCAACAGAAACAACCATTGAGGAATCCACAATGGTATGAAATTCAAAACTTGTTCAATACATATTCATATGATTTTTATTAATACCTGAATATATTGCAGGAAATGGAAGAGGTTGAAAGGAAACTAGAAACAAATTCAAAGAATGAAGAAGCCAGTGCTACCAATGAGGTATATCTATTTTACATAGATTTTTGACAGTAATGTGATGCACTTATTGCGTATTGTCAAATATCTGATGAACTGTAAAACATGACAGTATAGAAAATCAATTTGTATGAAGTTGGCAGTAACACATAGTAGGTTATGACTCTCAAATGTTATATATATGTACTGACATAGAATGACAATAATATTCTATAGCTGTATACATAATATATTGACAGTAATAGTGTGTAGTTGATATTTAATGCCAAAACGAAATAACCTGACACACATGTCAGTAACTAATGAGAATATGTATGATTCTTTTGGCAGTCATAGTATATAAAATTCAAAGTGTACTGACACATGATCATGCAGTGTAAAAGTATACAGGTTTACAAAGAACCAGTACCTCTATCTGTGATTGTGAAAGCTCATGCTGCAGCTGTAAAAAGATCTAAAAGGAATCATAGGTCTCCGGAACGCTATACACCATCAGAGAGAAGAGTGGAAAAGAAAAGAAGAAAGCTTGAAAAGGCGAAGAAGGTGCAGATCACTTCATTACCGATAACAGAAGACCGCATAGGTCCATTATCTGAAGATCCAAAGCAAATGCCAGAAAAGCATGAGATTGATAAAGTGGCAACTTATTTAAAGGTTGGATTGCTAAAAAACAGAAAGCGAGGTACAGGCTCTATACAATATAAGAAACAAGATGAAAACATGCATAGAAAGCCATTCCTGTTGGACTGTATAACTGTCCATTCAAAGACATGGTTGTATGAGCTGTTTACGAATCCCGAATGGTTGCGTGACACAGTACGTTTTAATTGAACTATTCAAGGTCATATCCATCAATTAATTACTTGAAATGTGTTTATTTATTAAAATGTACTCTAACAACTATGTAAATATTTGATATGCAACAACATATAGAAGTGGGAATGTATTATTTAACCTACAAAGTTGAACAGTACAACCTGCCTCAAAAGTTCACCACAACAAGTCCCTTCTTTGTGTCCCACCTAAAAAGAGAGAGTGAACTAATTGCTCAAAACAAGATTACTTTGGACACGGCCGCAGATGATGATGCTATAATGGCTGAAATCATAGGAACTAGAGGGGATTTGTCTAGTGCATGGTGTGAAGTAGATTTTGTGTACATGCCATTGAACAATGGAAACCATTGGGTCTTTGTTGTTCTTGATTTAGCTGCCAAGATGATGAAAGTGTACAACTCTAAATGTAGAAGAGGTGAGTCACTGCGAGATATTGTTGAATTTCTGCCAGGCTTGAAAAGCCTACTGCCAAAAATCATGGACAAGTATGGTGTGTATGAAGCATTTGACAGTGGAAATATGGGTGAAAAAGAATTTCATATCGAAGCTGTAGAAAACTGCCCCCAACAGACTAACTGGTAATATAAGCCGTTGTTATTCAAATTTCAAAATTATTTAATGAGTGTTTCAATTAAAATAACAATATTTCTGATTCTAATGCACTCTTATTTGTAAAATAGTGGCAACTGTGGAATGTTCATGCTAAAGTTTGCTGAATTCTTGATGATGGGGAGGGACATCACTGAAATCAAAGCTGAAGACATGCCAAGCTACAGGAAGAAAATGACAACTGAATTGATGATGTACAATGAAAGGAGGATGAAGGATTTAGTGAAATAAGCAGAAAGCTATACTTGCTTATATGTAATACTGAACAATTGACTTTGTTATCACCATTTCAAACAGTTTGTTTTTTGTTTAGCAAACAATAGTATCAAAGCTTATGTGTTTTGTTTAAATTGTATGTGGTCAATATCTTGAAATTAGTACTTCATATTTCTACTGCATTTACATTGTTGATGTACTCTTGTTAACATAGTTAATGCTATTTGTTTAATGCAAATTGCTCTAAATAGGAGTAAAAAACTTTGAGAATTCAAATTAGGAATTCTTACCGTCATTATTTGAAAGTACTGACATAACTAAAAATTATTGTTATTAATTTCTTATTAATAATAATTAATACTGCCATGTTGAATGGTTAGAACTGTAACTTATTGGAAAGGTATGACTAAAAGATGACAATAAATACTGCCACCACGAAGGCAGTAATCTCCATAAAGTACTAATCCATATATTGCAAGTTAAGCAAAAATTGTGTATTGCCACTGCATCAATGAAGGCAGTACTCATTATTGGAAATATTAAATACTGCCACAACGAATGAAGCAATAAATTCTGAAGAGAAGAGTAATGTCATATATTGCAGACACTGCCACTTTTTTTGTTGACAATATGTACTTACATCATAATGGCATTACGAAGGCAGTAAGTTCATACACAGTTGCATATCATGGCAGTACAGTAAATAAAATAATACTATTACAGTAGAAAGGAGTAAATGATATCTTGATAATAACCACAACATTGTGTAAAATTTGTATCTCAATCTTCACATAGTAGCAAAAATTAACATCAAACTCAAAAACAAATAAGTACAAAATAGTTTTCTACGAATCAATTGTAAGTGCATTCCTGCAGCTTTTTTTGTTATGACCAGCAGAATGGCATCGGGAGCATTTTCTCCGTTTGGTTGCACGAACTTCACCAACTGATGGTATCCTTTTTGTTTTTGGTCGACCAGCTTGTTTCTTAGAACATAAAGGTGGCTTGCAACGAATACTTTTAACATCATGCGGAACTATCCAAGAAGATACATCACCAATTGGATGTTGTATGCCACTGTATGTATTCACAAGAGACTGTCGTGTGTAATAATATGATATATAATCATAGCAAGAAACACCAGGACGGGTACCTATGGCAGCTACAGCATGTACACAAACAAAGTGCTCTAATTGGAACACACGACAAGTACATGTTCGGTCAATGAGATTGACAATAAAAGATCTACGAAGTCTGTCAACAACTTCAAACTCGTAATGACAAGATGGTTTGACCTGAAAAATCAAGGTTAATGAAACATGTGAATCACAGATATAAAAAGACATTAACACATCATAAAGATAAAGCAAAGTTGACAGTACAATACTTATGTAAGAAAGATACTGACAGGTTAATTACATAAACTTGCCAGTATAAACTTGTTAGTATGCACTTGCCAGAAAATAAATGAAGGAAACTATAAGAAAATTAAAGAAATTAGTACCCTCATGCTAGAAGCTTCCCTCTGCAATGAAACTAAATATTTCTCAAACTTTAGAGTCAAATGAGTAGTTGATGAAGTTGCTTCTTCGAGCCGCTCGGTAAACTATGTTTGCATTCTTTCACGGAGAAAATCCAAAAGCTTAGCAACAGCATACTCTCTTGCGTTAGCATTTACGTTGTTCATGGCCTCTGCACAGTTAGAGGTCATAACACTCCATCGACTCTTAACTGCCATGCTTCAAGCCCACTTTTCCTTTCCAATCTTCTCTAGCCATGGACGAATCCTAGCATCTTCCTCATCCAACATGGACAAGTATTCATAGAATTCACTCACAGTTGCAGCCTCCCATGCAACTTTAAATTTCCATCCATGGTTGGATGACTTACCTTGAAATTTGGATCTCATGTTACGCCGGAGATGTTCACAACAATATCCATGGGCAGCGTGTGGGAAGATGGCCTTTGCAGCTTTGATAATACCTTTATGTCTATCTGACACAATGTACATGTCATCACGATGTTTAAGGCATTCTTTGAGCCTCATAAAGAACCACTTCCAAGACTGAGTGGTCTCAGAATCACATACCGCAAACGCTAAAGGCACAATCTGTTTGTTTGCATCTTGGCTGCAGGTTGTAAGCAATGTCCCTTTGTAGTAGGATTTCATAAAAGAACCATCGATAATAAGAACAGGAATGCAATGTTCCCATGCATTCTTCCATGGTGCAAGTGACATGAACAAATAGCAAAACACGTCATCATCTCCTCTAATGAGTAAGACATCAGATCCTGGATTAGCTTGGCCAAGCATATAGACCATCGACGGCAACAATTGGTATTGCTCTGAATTTGAACCAAACTGTTTTCTCATGGCAGATTTCTTTGCAGCCCACGACTTCTTGTATGAGATCGGTATTCCATATTGCAACAACAAATCATCCCTGATTTGTTTAGGTGTATAGGGTTTTTTGGAAGCATCCATATACTGATGAGCTATAAGCTCAGCAATCAATGCAGAATTGGCCTGCCTATGATGAACACCTTGCCTAAAGTCTATTGAGCAAGTGTGATCAACATCAAATCTGTATGTAAAGAACAAAGAATAAATACAAAGTGGTGGATATATGAAGTACCTGACAACGGACTTTAATGGCAGCAATTGGTGACTGTACAAATACAGTATGAAAGTAATACAAAAACATTTGAAAGAACGAAGACAATATGCATGCTTGGAAATAAAATGTGTTAACTGACAGTACACTCAAGCAATGCAGTTTTCAACTACGAAACATACAATGCAAGATTATTAAAATACATCACAAACAACTAAAAACAATGGATGAAATAAGAAACATACCTTCTAATCTGAAAAAGTTGAACACCTTTGAGTCCAACAGCACGAACAGCCCATTTACAATTCTTTTTGTCCAAACATATCACATGCAATGTATGCTTTTTTGAAGTCTTTGTCAAATATTGGAAGTTATTATTGATCGCGTACAGTCTAAGGTGATATAGTAGATCTTGCTTGTTCACGTAGATACCATGGAGCACAAGCGTAATGGGAGAATAATGTGTAATGACATCACAGTTCTGGTTTAACACAAAGGCATCTGATGACTGATTTTCTAAATTTTCAGAACTAGAAGAAAGGGAGTCCTCATCAGAACATTCAGCACATACGCCACTACATGAACTGTGCTCTTCTAAGTTATGTTCATTGAAGGGAATACTAGAATGATCGGCATAAAAAGAAGGTGTGGATGAAAGAACATTATCAAAACTATTTTCAGGAGCATGAGAATGGATTTCAGGATGCAAGATTTGATCTGGAGAATGGACAACAACGAAACTGGTATTTGCATTGAACGAATCAACATTAGAATAAGCTGCAGGCGTGACCAAAGTATTTGAAGTACAAGCGGGTGAAACAGGAGCATAAGTAGGTGGTTTCTCTTTCACAAATTGTATACACAAAGGATATTTTGCAAAATCTGATTGAAGGATCTTAAGATCAATATAAAAGCGTAAACTAGCATTGTCATTGACTAGAACAGGTGGGGGGGCAGGATTCAAGAAGGTATGATATGGTAAAATGTGGATTAGATTGGATTTGATCAATACGGTTGGTAAGGATGCCTAAGAATGATGCGTATGTGCAACAATACGGGACATGGATACCTAATGTCGACTTGTTCATGAAGACAAAGTCAGGCCCCCACACACCATCCAACTTGACCATTATGAGCAAAACACGATCCATTACAGCAATTTCCATGAAAAATCACTTTGCAAAAACTGTAAAAGCAAGTGATGAATCTTAGAACATTGATAAATCTCAAAATAGTTCGAAATTATAAAAAACGAAGTGTTTTCATGGAAGTTGAATATGGAAAAATAGGTGAAAGGAAAACAATTCAAAAATCGAAGAGAATACCTGATAAAAATCTGAATCCGAACAGATAATTAAGACGCAAGTGCAATTCAAACGATTTTCAAGTTAACGATGCGCAAAAAATAAACTCTGTGCTTCGAAATAATTGTCTACAGTGATTTGGAATCCTCGTGGAGCTCTGTCTTAGCGTTTACACCAGGCCATCATCTTCAAAGATTCACCGCGGAGCTCCCTCTAAGCTTCGAAATCATTGTCTGCAGCGATTTGGAATCCTTGCGGAGTAGAAGACAATGAATAGTTGGGATACGTTAAGTTCGGTAACTAAGAATAGATACGGAAGTTTGAACCGGGTTATTTTAGGAATGAAAAAACGTAATGTTCGTAATTAGGACCAATGAAGTCCCATTTTGGGAAACAAAGTTAAATAGTCCTATTTTGGAATTAGGAAACACAATTAGTCCCATTTAGGGTAAATTCTCATTTATTTTTATATTTATTTCTATTCTCATATTTATTATTCATTCAAATATATTTATTAATTCATTATATATTTTTATTACGCTGGTATTTGTGTAAACATATATTAAATGTTTTACATGTGTATATGTAGGAGTTTATTACTTATATCTATTTATTTCTATTTTAAGGAATTATATACGTATATATGTAGATAAATATTATACATTTTTATTTTATTATTTAAATTGCTACTTTAGGTTTATATGATTTATATGATGTAATGTGTTTAGGACCCTATTTGGTCTTTTTGAGAGTTTTGACTTATATAACTTTTTTCTTATAAATTTATTTGTTTTATTCTCATTTATTTTTGAATATTTTTATATTTTGTTTTTTTATCCAAACTAAATTTATTAATATTGTATTAAATTTCCGGAGCATTAGAGAGTGCGTCGATCGGAGATGGAATGCAGCATGAGGCCTGGAAAATATCTGAATGTACTATATGTTCAAGGTACATCTTATTGTGCGATATGATTTGTGAGTAAGTGGTTGTAAGATATAATTTGCGACTTAAAATGATCAGATCAGATTAGACCAGACCAAATTTTCATAGTTATAAAATACATAGAGACCAGACATTTACCGGACCAGATCAATTTAGACCAGATCAGATTTAAATAGACAGACTAGATAGACCATCAATTTTAAGTTGAAGTAAAATCATTCTTTCTAAATTTGTGCAGGGTAAAATTTTGTTGAAAATTTTAGTCACTGGGTGTTTACAAGGAGGCAAGGCTATCATTTTTAAAAGTCCAGTCTCGATATTATTCAATTTCAGTCTTCAAAACAATAATTTTCTTTTTACCTTCTACTAGTATAGTACTCGTGCATACGCACGGGAAAGAACAGTTGGTGCATATATTTCTACTCATGATCTAATGAAATATTAAAATAAAAATAACTTTGTAGGATTCTACATTTTGAAAAAAATAAGAGTACAATAAACTAATAACATAAAGTATAAACTCATACAATAAATATTCAAAGAAGAGTATATTAGGAAAAATTAATCGACACCACTCATTATAATTTGCTACTTACTAATTTTCATGATTAAGAGTACAATAAGCTACGGATTAAATTAATTTTAAAATTGACTACTATTCTAAAAAAGTGAGTACAATAAGTGTGTGACATAAAGTTTGAGTGAATACAATAATTATTAAAATTGTTTAATCCCGGAAGGAATATGTACAATACAATAAATATTAAAAATTACTGAATATTAGTTAAATAAGAATTTGCTTCTCGTTTAGTTAAATTAGTGCTAACATATGAGAGAGAGAACAAATTCTCCCGCTCAATTCCCCCGCTCAATTGTTGGCAAATTTATCTTCTAAAATACCTAAAAGCACTACATATAGAGGGAAAATTCTTCCGCTCAATTATTAGCAAGCTTATCTTCTTATACCTAAAACTCTTACATATGAGAGAGAAAATTGTCCGCTCAATTATTATCTCGACTATCTTATACTTAAAAAACTACATTTGAGAGATAAAGTTCTTCCACTCAATTGTTAGCAAACTTATCTTCTTATACCTAAAAGTATTAAATATGAAGAGAAAATTATCACACTTATCTTCCAATACCTAAAAACAATACATATGAGAGAGAAAATTCTCCCGCTCAATTGTTAGGCGGCTTATCTTATACTCCCTCGGTAACTTAAAAACCTTCCCATTTCAAAAGTAGGTAGATTAAGAATAGGGAAAGAGGATATGAATTATTAAGGTTATGATGAGAAGATGGTGGAATAATGTGATGGAATGAAGGATAAATTCAAAAAAGTAGTTGTAATAGTGTATTATTTTAAAAATTATTGAGGGTATGATGGGAAGATTTAGAAATAGGAAGATTTAGAAATAGGACGAAAAAGGAAAGTTAGAAAATTTTTTTGTTACGAGGGAAGTACCTAATAGCACTATATACGATGGGAAAAATTCTTCCGCTCTATTGTTAGCCACTGTATGACCTATTCTTCTTATACCTAAAATTTTATACCTAAAAGCACTATATATGAGAGAGAAAATTCTCTCGCTCAATTGTTAGCTGACTTGTCTTTTACCTAAAACCACTATATATGATAGAAAAAATCTCTCTCAATTGTTATCTGGACTATCTTATCCCCAAAAGCACTACTTATGAGAGAGGGAAATCTCTCGCTCAATTGTTAGACAACTTATGGCTTAATCTTTTCCATATACAAAATCTTATGTCTAAAAGCATCAAATATGATAGAAAAAATTCTTGCGTTAAATTGTTAGTCAACTTATCTTACCTTATTATTTCAAAAAGAAAGAGAAAAAACTCTCATACTCGATTGTTAGCATGTCTAGCTATCTTCTAATACCTAAAAGACTACATATGAGAGAGAGAAATATTTCACTCTGTTGGTATTGGCCCTCTTTATTCCCTAAGCCCAATTCCCCTACCCGGCCCATGTCTTATTCTGATTTCTGGTTCGCACAAGCCAATCTCCTCTTACGCGATTCTTCTGTCTCCTTCCTTGTGCGCATCCTGTGTATCTCTTGGTAAGGTAAGTTACCATCTTTGTCTTTGGTGTTTCGCCTATATATATTCTTCTTCCCGTATGTAATTGGGGTGCGCCGAAAAAAACCCTCCTAAAATCAGACCGCCGCTCCACTGTAGGGCGAATTGGTCGGAAAAAGGTGTGTTGGCTGAAGCCCCTTTCCCCTTAGTGACTTCAGTGGTGTTCTTCATCCTTTGTGGGTGAAATTTGAACGAGACCTGAGCTGGATTCGAGTTCTTACAGTGGTATCAAAGACACGGAGGTCCTGCCGCCGCCACGCCGCCGTCTGCCGCCGTCGTACACCGTCGCCGGAGGTCCAGGAGTGCCGCCAGTGGTCCAGGGAGTTCTGCCAGAAGCTTCCAGCCTTCCAGGGACTCCGCTGCCTCGGACCAAACCTGCTGCCGCCAGCCACGGAGCTCTGCCGCCAGTCCAGTTCGCTGCCGCCACGCTCTACGGCAGCCCACGCTACCTACGGTAAGTCGGGTAACCCAACCTCGGGCCCCGCTCAGGTAAATTGGCGATAACCACCCTTGGTGTACCGGAGTGCCACCGGATTTATTTTTTCCCCCGCTCCCAGCTGCTGACCTGCGTGGTCTTGGATGCCGGCTGTGCCCGGCCCCAGGTACGTTTACTAATCCTTTGTGTGATTATTTATTCGTAGTTCATTCATTTTAATTTCAAGTTGAATTACAATTACTTGTTTGTTTAATTTGTGATTACTTGTTGGTTTGTGATTGATTTTTTCCGGTGAAGAATATTTTGTTTGGATACTCGTTGTCCAAAGTTGTGAATATTTCTTCCGGTTTAAATTTAATCACGTGTTGGATTTTTATTTTTATTTTTCTGTTGATTGATTCGTGGATAAACTCTCCGGTTAAGAATATTTGTCTGGATACTTGTTGTCCGAAGTTGGGAATATTTCTATCCGGATTAGTTTTAAATCCCGTTTTTTTTTGTTTGTTTGTTGCTTTAATTCTAGCCTATTTGTGCTTGTACGAAAGAACAAGGAGATTGTACCCGAACTTTGTGTTCATTGGTCTTCTTGGCTTGTTCGTGCTAGTTGCTTCGTACAATTGATAGCCCTATAGGTTATAATTAATCAGTTATCTGTCTGTTGAGTAAATAAAATTTTTTATCTGTGCTTGTACGAAAGAACAAGGAGATTGTACCCGAGCCTTGTGTTCATTGGTCTTCTCGACTTGTTCGTGCTAGTTGCTTCGTACGGTACGAAAGAACAAGGAGATTGTACCCGAGCTTTGTGTTCATTGGTCTTCTCGGCTTGTTCGTGCTAGTTGCTTCGTGCCGGTTGATAGCCTGATAAATTTTTTTTATTTACTCTCTTGCGTGTTGTGCTTGCTTTCTGGTTAATATGGCTGTCAATCAATATGACATGCTTCCATTTAATGGAAAGACAGATTTTGATATCTGGAAACAGAAAATCAAATGCGTGTTGATCCAACAGAAAGTCTATAGAGCTGTGACCGGTCTCTATTTAGACTCTGAGGATGCTGCCAAGCGCGTTGAAATGAATGAAACTGCTTGTTTTTCTATTTACCTAAACCTTTCTGATTCAGTGCTCAGAAAGGTGGGTATTATAGATTCTGCTAAAGAGTTGTGGGACAAGTTAGATAAGTTGTATACCGATACTTCTTTGCCTGGTAAATTGTTTTTACTTGAGAAGTTCTTTAGATTTAGGCTTGACCTGATTAAAGACATAGATGAGAACTTAGATGTGTTTAACAAGCTTATTCAGAACATTAAGCAAGCCGGTGATAAACACATAGATGACTACACACCCATAGTGTTACTTAATGTCATCCCTGACTCTTACAATGACGTCAAATCTGCCATAAAGTATGGTAGAGACGATATCTCATTAGATATAGTCGTTAATGGATTAAAAAGTAAGGAGTTAGATCTTAGACACTCGAGGGGTAGTAACAGTCAATCTAGGGACTCTGGTGAAGCGTTGCTTGTGAGGGGTAGGTCTAAGAGTAGATCTAGAAACCATAAGAAGGGTAGCAACAATATGAACCAGACCAATAACAATGACCCGGGTAAGAAGAGAGGTAAGTCTAAGAAGAGAGTGTGCTATAATTGCGGGAATTCTAGTCACTTCATTAAGGATTGTCCCCATCCCAAGAAGTCTGAACATGCTAATGTGGTAGATGATAATAACTTGCATGAAGAAGTTTTTATGGTCTGTGATTTTGCAAATTATGTGTTGAGTAGCATGACTGAAAATGAGTGGTTAATTGACTCTGGTTGTACTTATCATATGACACCTTTTAGATCTTTGTTTGCTTCTTATGATTCTTGCAATGATGGTTTTGTGTCTCTTGCTGATAATAAGAAATGCAAAATACATGGGGTGGGTGATGAATGTTTGAAGTTTGATAATGGGACTGTGTTTACTATGAAAATGTGAGGCATGTTCCTGATTTGCATCATAACCTATTTTCTGTCGCTGCTTTTGAGGGTAGTGGGCTTGAGGGTAAATGGGGAAATGGGTTCATGAAAGTTTTGAAAAATTCCCTTGTTTTGTTTAAGGCAAAAAGGTGAATAATTTGTATGTGTGCCATGCTCAGCCTTTCTGTGATTCTACTCATGTTGTTAGTTCTGATAAAACTGCTTTGTGGCATAATAGATTATAGGACACATGAGTAATAAGGGTCTAGAGATTTTGCATAAATCTGGTTGTTTTGGTAAGGATTCTGTGTCCTCCATCCCTTTCTGTGAATCTTGTGTGTTAGGCAAGCAGCATAAGGTTACATTCCCCTCCTCCCATTATCCTAATCCCACTAAGTGTACCTCTGTGTTAGACTATGTTCATGTTGATGTATGGGGTCCTACTAGTGTCTCTACCCACGGGGGTAAGAGATATTTTCTGTCCATTATCGATGATTTTTCTAGGAAGGTGTGGGTCCGTCTTCTTGAGCATAAGTCCGATGTCTTTGTGAAATTTAGGGAGTGGAAAACCCTAGTAGAAAATCAAACCGGTAAGAAGGTCAAAACCCTTAGAACCGATAATGGATTAGAGTTTTGCAATAAGGATATGGACCAACTCTGTGTTGATTGTGGGATTAGAAGGCACAAAATTGTGCCCTATACTCCCCAACAAAATGGGATAGCCGAGAGAATGAATAGGACTGTTCTAGATAAGGTTAGGAGTATGCTTGCTACCGCCGGTCTGTCTAAAAAGTTTTGGGGTGAAGCAGTTAATACTGCTGTCTACTTGATTAACCGGTCTCCCTCTGTTCCCTTGGGTGGGAAGTGCCCTGAATCTGTTTTCTCAAACAAACCCCTTGACTTGTCAAATCTTAGAGTGTTTGGATGTGCCGCGTATGTACATCAACAAGGTGACAAGTTGGATCCTAGGTTTAAGAAAGGAGTTTTCTTAGGTTATCCTAAGGGTGTGAAGGGGTACAGGGTTTGGGATAGGAACCAAGTAGGTTTCAAAGTTGTGGTAAGTAGAAACGTTGTTTTCAATGAATCCGAGTTTCCTTGTCTGGTTAAGTCAGTTCCTGATTCTGAGTCGAGCCCTAGTAGTACTCCCATTGAGGTGGAGTCCATACCACATGCTGTTTGTCCTTTGTTTGCTAATCATGATTATTCTGACTTGCATGATTCTTCTGACTTGCGTGATTTTTCTGAATTGCATGATTCTTCTGATCATGATACTACCACCACTTCGAGTGAGGTGGAGAATTCTCATGTGCATTCAAATGACAATGAATCGCATGATGAGAGTGTTGACCGTAGTGATAATGATTTGCATGATTATCAACTTGTTAGAGATAGAAGTAGGAGAGTAATTAGGAGAACTGCTGATAGCATGCCTGATTTTGCTTTCCATGCATGTGATACTTCTATGTTTGCTTTCTCTGTGTTTGAGACCCTCGAGCTTAACGAACCTAAAACCTATAGAGAGGCCCTTAAGTCTAATGAGTCCGCTAAATGGCTTTGCGCCATGGAGAGTGAGATGGAGTCACTTAGAGCGAATAAGACTTGGACGTTAGTTCCTAGACCACCCAATAGTTCCGTAGTTGACTGTAAGTGGCTATTTAAGGTTAAGGAAGAGCCTAACGACATTAGATATAAGACTAGGTTAGTAGTTAAAGGATTTATTCAAAAGGAAGGTGTTGATTATGCTGAAATCTTTGCTCCCGTGGTTAAATTCACTACTGCTTTCTTGCATGGTGATTTAGACAAGAAAATCTATATGACCCAGTCTGAGGGCTTTGTGGATCCCATGAAGAGTAATCATGTGTGTTTGCTTAGGAAGGCCTTGTACGGCCTGAAGCAGTCCCCGAGGCAGTGGAATATCAAATTTGACCAGTGCATGTCATCTTTGAAATTTCACAAGTCCGAGTGTGACCATTGCCTATACTTTAAAAATACTTCTTTTGTGCCTGTATTTTTATTGCTTTATGTGGATGATATGTTGATTGTTAGTCCTTCGGGTGACGCCATTAAAGGTGTGCAAAAGCGTCTCAGTGAGAACTTTGCAATGAAAGACCTAGGTGATGCCAAGAGGATCCTAGGCATTAACATTGTTAGGGATAGGAGTAAGCGTGTGTTAGTACTCAATCAGATTTCATACAATGAAAAGATTTAGAGTAAATATAACATGCATTCTTCTACTACCGTCTCTATTCCTATGGCGTCCCACTTTGTGTTAAGTAAGGATCAGTCTCCCAAGACTGCTCCTGAAATTGCTAAAATGAAATCTGTGCCTTATTCCAATGCTATTGGGTCCGTGATGTATCTCATGGTGAGTACTAGACCCGACATTGCCTATGTTGTTAGTTGTTTGAGTAGGTATATGTCTAATCCTGGATTACCTCATTGGAATGCTCTGAAGTGGTTGCTTAGGTACTTGAAATCTACTGTTAATCATGGGTTCGTTTTCACTAGGTGTTCTGAGGGTGTTAAGTTGAGTGGGTATGTGGACTCGAATTTTGCTAACGATAGAGACAATAGGAAATCCACTACCTCTTATGTGTTTACCCTTTGCGGGTCTTGCATGAGTTGGAAGTCTCAACTTCAACCCATAATTGCCCTTTCCACTACTGAGTCTGAGTATGTGGTCGCTATCGAATCTTTAAAGGAAGCCATTTAGCTTAAACGTCTCCTAACAGAGATTGGTAGTCTTAATCAGGATATTTGTGTGTTTTCTGATAGTCAATCTGTTATTCAATTGTGTAAAAACCCTGTTTTTCATGATAGAACTAAGCATATTGATGTTAGATTTCATTTTATATGTGATATTGTTAGTGCAGGTGATATCAAGTTGATTAAAATTCCATCTGAATTTAATCCTGTTGACATGGGGACTAAATGTCTCTCTGTCGAAAAGTTGTTGTCGTGCAAGCGCACGTTAAACATTGATTGCGGTTAAGTTGCCTGGTGATCTTACCCCTTTGCCTGAATGTGTCTTTGTGATCATTCGGGCAATCCAGCGATAATGAGTCTCAAATTGTTTTAGAGCGTTGTGCTCTACACCACTATGGTCCAATAAGGTGGAGAATGTGTTGGTATTGGCCCTCTTTATTCCCTAAGCCCAATTCCCCTACCCGGCCCATGTCTTATTCTGATTTCTGGTTCGCACAAGCCAATCTCCTCTTACGCGATTCTTCTGTCTCCTTCCTTGTGCGCATCCTGTGTATCTCTTGGTAAGGTAAGTTACCATCTTTGTCTTTGGTGTTTCGCCTATATATATTCTTCTTCCCGTATGTAATTGGGGTGCGCCGAAAAAAACCCTCCTTCTCCTAAAATCAGACTGCCGCTCCTCTGTAGGGCGAATTGGTCGGAAAAAGGTGTGCTGGCTGAAGCCCCTTTCCCCTTAGTGACTTTAGTGGTGTTCTTCATCCTTTGTGGGTGAAATTTGAACGAGACCTGAGCTGGATTCGAGTTCTTACACACTTAATGGTTAGTCCGCTTATCTTATACCTAAAAGCATTATATATGAGAGAAAATTCTCACACATCTTTGACAAATGTGTATGACCCAATCTGAAAAATGTGTCCAACGACAAGTATCTTTTCCGTATTTTTCCCTATATTTTTTGTTCAAATATTCTTTCAATTGCTAGATTAGGAATCATCTCAAACTATTTCATAAGTCTATCTCTTTGTATGTACATAATTAGAAGTCCACAATAATAACCAAATTCAAGTATATTTATATTTTTGAGTCACTTACATATTATAAAGAAATAATGTCAGTATGTTAATTTTATAATGAAATGTGATACTTTTTAGGATTGCCATTCTTTTTTCTTTTTGGTGAATTGAATCACTGAAAACAATAATAATAATAATAATAATAATAATAATAATAATAATAATAATAATAATAATAATAATAATAATAATAATAATAATAATAATAATAATAATAATAATAATAATAATAATAATAATAATAATAATAATAATAATAATAATAATAATAATAATAATAATAATAATAATAATAATAATAATAATAATAATAATAATAATATTAAGTAACATTAACTTGTGCTTTTCTTGGGTGTTAATATATACTTACATTTCATCCAAAAAATAATAATAATAATATTATTATTAATAATAATAATAATAATAATAAGAGATGATTATCCTAGGTTGACTAAAACTACCCAATTTTCCAATCTATGATCTAACTCGTCTTTTCCCAAAATATTATTTAAATTTGTAATAATTAATTAATTTTGTAATGAATAAGTAAAAAAATATGGACTAATTTACCCTTTAGGTTATACCTATAAAACCATGACCTTATATATTTGTATATATGTAGGAAGTTGTTATGTTTATCTTATTCTTATTACTTATTACTTATTCTTATTTTATTCAGATCAGATCAGATCAGGAAAATTCTAATTAGATTAGAAAGCTTAAGATCATATTAGAAAAATTCAGATCAGATAAAAAGATTCAGATAATATCAGAGCAGATCAAAAAACATTTAGATCAGAAACATTAAGATCAGGTCAGAAAAATTTAGAAATGATTATTATTATTATTGGTCCAAAATAGACACTCGTAAGCTTTTAGCAAATCTACGATAGACACCCAAGCAAGAATAAAAAAACTATTACGAGAATGGAAAGTAGCTAAGGAAGTTTAGTTGCCCGAGCTTATAAAAATTGCTTCCCTAATTTGAATTACAACCTGCCTTTTATAAGCGTATACAAATCGTAACTGCTACTGATAATAATGACTAACTAATTACAACATTTATACAGAATTAAATACATAATTAAACAGTGCATTAAGTGTTTGATTGTTACTCTTTCTGGCTGGCAGGTCGGCCGAACTGGTAGGTAGGCTCCAGGTTGTGGATTTGGATCCACGGGTTCAAGTTCGGGGCTTAGGCCAATTAGGCTCTGGGCCAAGTCTCATAACTCCATCACGAGCCCCCCACTCCCTTAGTCAAGTAGTAGACTCGACTAAGAGCGAGTAGTCAAGTCAGTTGCTCTTCTCCGAGACCGGAAAGATCTCCGCCCTTGTCAATGTTAGGGAGATGCCTCATTAAAAAAAATTATTAGGAAAAACGGTATGGGAAAATATCCTAATGAAGGGAAAAGGAGTACACTGAACGTATGGATGGACTCGGGTCCGGGCCAGGTCAGGGTCGGGCCTAGGCCCGAGCGGGCCGGCGGGTAAGAAATGGTGGACCTGGGACCGGCCCGGGTAACCACCGGGTCCGGGCTGGGCCGGGCCGGGCCCATTATATTTTTTTTTTGTTTTCCTCTTCCTGATTAACCCCCCTCCCACCCCCACCCCCCCCAAACATCCCCAAATGGCCCAAAATACCCAGCCCAACCCGAAAATTTAAAAAAAAATGAAAAAAAAATAGTTTTTGGCCCGAACCGGGCCCGGGCCTTGTTTTGGGTGACCAGAGCCCGGACCAGAAAACCCACGGGCCGGGCCTACCCGGACCGGTCACTGACCGGGCCACCGGGTCGGGCCGGGCCGGAACAGTACCGGTCCTGGGCCGGTTCCGGGTCGGGCCACCCGGCCTGAGTCCATCCATAACTGAACGCCCCCAAGATGAAGCAAGGGGGTGAAATCCCCAGCCTTTATTGCAATGGTCGCCATATGCAAAGAGCATGGCTAAGACCGGTCTTCTCATCGGGCTCGGGCTCATCAGGTCCATCCTTTGCTTCCTTGAAGATGGTAAGTCCCTCACTCCCCCACTCCTTGAGGCGAGTGGAGTCATCTTCATTCAGTCGTACCTCCACATAAAGGCAACAAGTGTAGAACATGGAAATTGGGCTTGGTATCGAACTGCGGCTCACTGAGTAAGTGAGCCGGACTCACCACTCGAAAAGAGTGATATCAAGCTCCCAAATTAGGCCTTAACCCAGCCTCTGAAAGAAAAATTGAATCCGAGAGCAATGCTTAGAACAGATCATCCAACCCCCAAAGAACTAAAGTATATCAACCGTTTTGGGAAATGAGAATATCAATTAAGTGATAAAATTGCTCGAAAGAGCGTGGCTCTAGGCCCTTAAGAAAACCTTAACTCGCCGCCTGAGGTTAGTAGTTTGAACTCGTAACTGAAAACTTTTGAACGGGTGACTCGTCCTCCGAGATCAGAGTGCATGTGATGCACTAGGAAGAAGTAAGAGCACGCAAGAAGTCGTATGAAATCAAGAGTGTGCGGTATTAACCTTTATATTGGAGCTTATTAATCGTCACACCCATATGACGTGATCCGGTGGCGCGAGTGTGTGTGTGTTCGGCTAGTGTATGAGTGTGTGTGCTCGCCCGGTGTACATGAGTGATCAAATTTCATTAGTCCGTTTTTCAATGTTAAAATTGCACACGCTTAACAAGAGTAAAAACAATTACACATTTCTACGTATTAATTATATGGAAATGTTTTTTAGTAAAAGCAATTATGCCAGTTAAAACATCTTTTAAAATGTTTCACTTTATTACTCCCTCCGTCCAAGATTTATTTTCGGTTTTGACTGGGCACGGAGGTTAAGATAAGGCACTTTTGTGCTTTGACTTTCTGCTTGTGCCCTTGAGATATTTCGCCCAACAAAGGGGTAACTCCCCAAAATAATAGGGTAACAAACAGTATACTGTATACGACTAAAAAGGTAGCGGGCTTTTGTCTGCAACAAACAGTACACCAAAGCAAAAGTAGCGGCCAGCAAAAAAACTAAAGTAGTGGAGGGAATTTTCAATAATTTGTCCACTTCCCTCCCAAAAGAAAAACTACAGATTTCAGTCTATATATACGACCACATGTTTCTCAAAATAGCTTAAGTACAAAGAAGAAGAGATAAGGTCAAAGACATGGCCGAAATAGTTCCAAAAAAAAAGAGATTGTCCAATGACGCAAGGCAACGCATCATGCAGTATCTTCTCATCAACTGCACAAATGGTAGGCTCAACCGAGGAGTACTAAATGCACTTGCAATAGAAAATGATGTGTCACAACGGTGTATCTCATTCATTTGGAAGCAAATAAAGAAATGTGAGATGGAAGGTTTACCTATTGATGTGGACAGACAGATGGTTGGAAAGGTAGGCAGAAAAGCAAAGATTCTACGTATTACTCATGTTAAGGAGATACAGGTTGATAAAAGAAAGAATATCAGGAATCTAGCTGCAGCAATGGGTTTTTCAAAAAGTACAGTGCACAGACTCATACAAAAAGGTGAATTAAAGGCACACACAAATGCTATCAAACCCTTTCTTACTGAGTCAAACATGATTAAGAGACTTGAATGGGTCATTTCACACATTGTCCCAGAATCAATGTCAACACAACCAGTATTTGAGCCCATGTTTAACTATGTGCATGTAGATGAAAAATGGTTTTATATGACCAAAACCTCAAATAGGTACTACCTGCATCCAGGGGAAGAGGAACCTCACAGGAGTTGCAAATCCAAGAGGTTCATCACCAAAGTGATGTTCCTCTGTGCTGTTGCTAGGCCCAGGCTATCAGAAGACTCACAAGTCTTATTTGATGGGAAAATTGGTATTTTTCCCTTCACATCATTTGAGCCAGCAAAAAGAAACAGCAAAAATAGAATTGCAGGGACAATTGAAGAGAAGGCAATTGACAGTGTCACAAAAGATGTTTACAGAGAATGCCTAATCAGTAAAGTTCTGCCTGCCATCAAGGCCAAGTGGCCAATTGATGCATCTGGGGACATATATATACAACAAGATAACGCCAAGCCACATATAAGTCCTAATGACAGTGAGTTCATGAAGGAGGCTACTAGTGGGGGATTTAACATCAAACTATCATGCCAACCACCTAATAGTCCTGATGTAAATATGCTAGACCTAGGCTTTTTTAGAGCAATTCAGTCCTTACAACAAACAACAGCAACTTCAACAGTTTCAGAGTTGGTGGCAGGGGTGAGGAATGCATTTGAGGGCTTCAGCCCTCATACTTTGAACAAGGTATGGGTATCACTACAACTGTGTATGAATGAAATTTTGAAACCTAAGGGTGGGAACAACTACAAACTACCCCATATTGGTAAAGACAGATTAGAGGGGATTGGGAAACTACCAATTTCAATGAGTGCAGACACAACAGCAATGAAAGAGGTGATACAATCATTGGAGGGTGTTAATGCTCATGAGTAGGTTGCATGCAGATGGTTTTTGGATGAACAGGATACAAGGGTTTTTGTTTAAAAGCAGACAAGGCACTAATGTTTTTGGGTTTTTGGGTTTTTGTATGTACTAGCTACAGACAGACAGTTTTTTGGGTTTTGTCTTTTTGGGTTTGGGGTACAAATATAGATAATGTACACAAACAACACTGTCATAGGCTATGATAGTATCTTGTCTTATCTTTAGCATATACAAGCAGACTTTCATCATTAAGGCATCACAGACTAGGACTCTCAGACTTCAACACAGCATCACAGAATCCATAGAGGACTGCCTTAAGCCTTCCTAGGACTAGCCTGGATGCTTAAGGCAGTTCTCAGTTTGGCATCAACAAATAGGACTCTCAGACTTCAACACAGCATCACAGAATCCATAAAGGACTGCCTTAAGCCTTCCTAGGACTACCCTGGATGCTTAAGGCAGTTCTCAGTTTGGCATCAACAAATAGGACTCTCCGACTTCAACACAGCATCACAGAATACATAGAGGACTGCCCTAAGCCATAACAGGACACATATATCAACATTTGTGCAACAAAGAGGACTCTCAGAATATAAAAGCAATCACAGAATCCATAGAACACTGCCTTAAGCTTCCATAGGATTATCCTAGTTTCTTAAGGCAGACATCTCTTAGGCAACAACAACACAGTACACACATAGGCATCCACAAATAGGCCATAATAGGACACATACATCAACATTTGTGTATCAGAAAACATGCATGCATCATGTAATGGACATTACAAATCCATGCACCTTAGAAGAAGATGAAAAGTTTAGTAAGTAGGGAGGTACGACCTTCGTTTTTTGTAAAGAGGTAGCCATATTTTAATCAATTCTTCTAGGCGCTGTTGAACTTTTGGGACTGGATGCGGAGGAAGATACGCAGGTGGAAAATACTCCCCTGTCGTTGTATCTACAGGACGAAGGTAAATGGAGGCCATGCTCTCAATGGAGGTTGGAATTCTATTTTCCATAGTGTCCGACTGCAACCCCTCTGGTAATCCTTCAACTTTCTGCCCAGCATCACTCCAATCTCCTTCTTCACTGTCTTCAACCCTCATCAATGTGAGATCATCTTCGGAATCAGGGACAACATCGGGCCAACAAGAGACATCGTCTGAGTCTTCAACCACCACACACCCATGCAAGACAAAGATAGAGGTTTTTTCCGCCATTAATGGATCTAGAATTTCAAATCTGATGTCGATGGAGAAGACTTCACAAAGGTTGCACAAATCCGAAGACGGCAACTGGGGTTGCTGAACATAGAGAAGGGAGATGGAGTTAGAGGCGAGAAGATGAAAGTTCAGGCAGAGGAGAGAGAGAGGAGCGTCTGTAATCACACGAGAAAGAGAGAAAGTTTGAGAAAAGACCAGAGAGGAATACAGTGAGACATGAGAGAGAAGAGCGTAAAAAAGTGGGGATATGTAGGGTTGGGTGGGTGGTGGTGGCCGGTTAGATTTATTAGGAGTAATAAATGGGGTAGATGGGTAAGGGTATTAGGGTAAATGAATAGGGTAAAAGTTGCTAAAAAGGGAAATAAGGAGATAAAATTGGGACGGCCCGAAAAGGAAAGAATGAAGATAATTCCAGGACGGAGGGAGTATTATTTTTTAGTCAAACATTTCCACGTATTTATTAGTAAAAGCTTATGATGCCCCTTCTCTGCTTGCTGAATCTGCCCAAGATAATATGAAGACCATTCCAGCTCAAATGCCTATTGCCAGTAAGCTGGAAACAGGGAAGGTCGGTAGTGTGGAATTTGTGAAGCCAGTGCAGCCTACTAAAAGCATGGTCCACACTCTTCAAAGACAACCGGGACCCCTCAAACGGACTCAAATTGAGGTATATTCCGCCAAAAAGCAACTCATTAGACTTTGTGGATAGGAATTTACCCTTCATGGTTGAGATGTGGGATTTTTGCCTGCTTCACCGGAAAACACCCCGGTCTTAAGGCTGTCTATGCCTTAAAAAACACTTGGGGTGTTAGTTGCATAGTTAAACCCCGTCAAAAGGGGTGGGTGATTTTTAAGTTCCATAACGAAGAAGATAGAGAAAAGGTGTTGAAGGGAGGAGCTTATACTATTTATGGGATACAACTCATGCTTAAAGCACTATCTGAAGATTTTTCGTTTGATGATGATGAATTTCTGAAAGTTCCGATCTGGGTTAAATTTCCAAATTTACATATGAAACTTTGGAATGAGGATGCGAAGAGTGAGGTTGCTTCCATGGTTGGGTATCCATTATCCACAAATAGAGTAACCCAGGATAGGTGTAATCATTTCTATGCTAGAGTGCTTATTGAGGTTGATGCATCCAAAGTCCAAACCACCGCTGCTTTCATTTCCTATTCGACTACCTTCCAGCAAAGTAGTCAATCAATATGTTGTAGGGTTGTAAACGAATGAATCGAACTGAATACTTGATAATATTATTCTTATTCGTATAATTATCGAATATTCATATTCGTATTCGTTTAAAATTCGAATCTTATTGTGTATTCGTATTCGATTCGTTTGATATATTCAAATCTTTTTCGAATCGAATTCGTTTCGAATTCAAAAAACATTAAAGTTAATTTGTGGAAATAATTAAAATTATGATGTTAGTTTGCCTCTTTTAACTAATTTTCATATTACATATTTTATAGGAAACAAAATTCTTTTATAGAAGTCACTTCAAATTTAATATCAATATAGATAAATCAACGGAGAATTTTAATTGTGAATTAAGTTATTTTGATCTGGTAAAGTAAGAATTTTTAAATCAAAATATGCAAAATATTTACATGAATATTTTGTTATTAATATTTTTACATTGAACTATATGTATTCATAAGAAGTAGTATATATTGTATGAATATATACATATATAAATATATAAATATATATATATATATATATATATATATATATATATATACATAGAATTAGGTTCAAGTGAGAAAATGATCTTAGGAGAGAAATGAGAACGAATCTGGACCGTTAGATTGTATTCTGTGAAATTGAATGTGCATTAAGTGAAACTGAAACGTGCATTAGGTGAAATTGAAGTGTGCAACACAAAATGTAAGACAAAGTGGTATTATGTGTAGTTGAATTGTGCATTATGGGAAATTGAAATGTGCAATAGGTGAAACTGAAATGTGCAGAATAAAAACTATGATGTGATGACATTTTTATGTCTTTTATTCTGCACATTTCAATTTCACGTAATGCACATTTGAGTTTACTTTTCATTCTGCACATTTCAATTTTACTTAATGCACATTTCAGTTTTACCAAATGCACAGTTCAATTTCACATAATACAATCTAACGGTCCAGATTCATTCTCATTTCTCTCCTAGAAGTCCTCCTTAAGATTTGCATCTAATCTTACAACGCATCAAACTTATAGACTGAATATAGTAACTTATAACCAATAAATCATAACTTATAAAGCTCTCCATCTTAATTACGGAAATGCCACCGCGTCAAAAAAAATTACAGGTTTCTGGAGTTATTTTGATGCGGTGGCATTTTCGTAATTATTTTCGAGGGGGTCTATAAGTTATGATTTATTGGATAAAAGTTCGTGTTTTTAGCTTATAAGTTAAACTTCGTAGTTCTCAGCCTAAGTGCACTTCTCACCTGATCCACTCCCTATATATATATATATATAGGGAGTGGTTCTAATGAGAACAAGTCTTATTGTGAGAAATGAGAACAAATCATGATCACTCACCTTAATAAATAAACGGATGGATTATATCTAGTACACCTAATTTTGGTGAGTATAAGTGTAGGGGATGATTATCTTCTCTATGTAATTCCAACATACAGTGGTTACTAAAGGGCATGGTTGTAATTGTAAAATTGAGCATTAATTATTGATATCCCACTTCCTCAAAATACGGATGTTTTTTAGGAACAATTAATAAAACTTACCAAAATAAACTCAGATAAGAAAATAAAAATCATGCATATATTTCATACTATACGTAGCAATGTAGCATATACGATTGTTGTAAAAAACACATGAAATCCATACAAAATGTACAAATATATAATGCACAATGACTGGTATCTAATGCACAATACGTATTACACAATATAACAAATATTTTGTGCACAAAAATTAATATCTAGCCATAACAATTAAGAACTAATTAGTGGTATATAATGCACAAGGAGTAGTATCTAATGCACAATAAGTATTAAAGATTATAACAAATATTGTGTGCACAAAAAACAAAATTTGGTCACAACAATTAAGAACTAGTTAGTATCCAGTTCAAAACGACTTCGTAAAATATAATTTAAAGTAGTACATAATACACAATAATCAATATCTAATGCATAATATATACATATATAGTCAAAAACTAAATTAGTACATAATACACAAGAACCATCATTTAACACAAGTTTCAAATGATACACATGCACAAGAATGTGTATGCACCACACAAGAAAATAAACCTTAATTTTCCGTATGAGTTGATAACCATAAATTGATGTACATAAAGTGCAGTTGAAGGTAATACGTGTGACCTAATATTTCATGCACAATACGTATTGAAGCATTATAACAAATGCTTTGTGCACAAAAACCTATATCTAACCATAACAATTAAGAACTAATTAAAATCCAATACAAAATGAGGTCCTAAAATATAATTTAAAGTAGTACATAATACACAAGAATCAATATCTAATGCATAATGCATACATAGCTAAAAATTAAAATACTAGGTTATACACAAGAACCATCATTTAACACAAGTAAAATATTTTATAAAAAGTAATAAAAATTTTGTTTTAATAAACACACAAGTAAAATCACATTAGAACTAAAATTAAACAATTCAGATGATGCCTAAAAACGGTACTTATTTGATCGGTACTTCAAATAAAAAATGGAAAGATGGTCAATGTAACTGCCAACATAGAAGAGCACGAAATTATCCTTTACTAGCACTTATTTGATCGTAGATCGTTAGTAATTTTGGAGGGCTGAGATTTGTTCTCACGTTAAGACTTGTTCTCATTTGAACCAAAATCTATATATATATATATATATATATATATATAATTCGAATATATTCGAATATTATTCGAATCGAATATCATAGTATTTGTATTCGTATTCGTAAAGTATTCGAATCAAAAAATAGATTTGTATTAGTATTCGTATTCTACTTACTCGAATTCGAATCGGCATTTTCGAATTCGAATCACGAATCGAATCAAAATTATTCGATTCGTTTACAACCCTAATATGTGGTGTATGAGACCTTTCCTTACTACTTTTTCCATTGCAAAGAATATGCGCACCACCCTATTTATTTGCAAGAAATTGGCAACCAAAGAACGAGAAATGGCGGAACTAAATGAAGAAAATGGGAAAGAAAAGAACAAGGAAGTTGGTTTTATAGAAGTTGTTGCACAGGATGCTTTGAAGGAAAACATTGCCACAAAATCTGTTGCGCAGGAACCTGCTGCCCCGGAAGCTGCTGCGCTGGAACCGGATGCCCCGGTGGAACCAGCTGCCATGAGGGGTGCACTGACCGAACCCGTGTTGGAGATACCGCTGGAACCTGTACAGGATTCCCAGATGGTAACTGCTACACATTATGCCGCGCCGGATGCTAGGACTACCATTCTAGGGAGGACCCACTGAGCTGATTGCGGATACTTCCAAGCAGCTCAGATGTTATACTTTGAGCGAGTATGTGAGAGTGGATAATGATGGGTTGAAAAGGGGTTTTAAAGATGATGTCCCGGTATTTACAGAGGTGATTGTTTGGGAAGTTTATATCTATGTTAGTTAGTTCTAGCTTAGGTAGTGGGTTTCTGAGTGCTTTGATACATTGTATGATGTTATTTTTTTGGGTGTTTAATATAATTACCTTTCATCCAAAAAAAATTATATGGAAGAAATTGTCACGTTACTTATCTTTCAAATGTGGTTCAAATTGTTGACCACTTAAACTCCTGGATCATGGGCCAATTTGACTTGGTCAACAAAAGCAGGCCACACTTCTTGACTTCTTGTACGTGGCAGAAAATGGAAAAAGAAATGACTCAAAATGGGACTAAAACATAGACTAAATTCTTATATAGGACATAAGTTTTTTATTCCCCAAATGCAGCGGAACTCCATCATCCAACCGCCTATAAAATTCCCCAACCTGAATCACAACCTTCTTCCTCTCCCCTACGACTTTCCCATTGGCCAACCATAACTTCTCCACCTTCGATCGAAGCTTATCCGCAATCAATCGCAATCATCTGTTCATTGTACTCTTTTCCTCCTCCTTCATGCTTTTCGGTCTTCTCCTTCCCATCCTTTGCAATTTCGGGTCCTCTTTTCTCTTCTTATATAGATTTCAATTTTTTACTTATTTATTAATTTTGATTAATTGGAACCTCAAAATGCCATAAGTTACCAGCAATTAGAAAAATGTCACTTTTATGACATTACATATTTACATTTATCAAGATGACAATATATCACGAAACTGACATTCTTACTCCAAAACATGTCACTTTAATTACGTCATTTTTGTTTCGAAAATGTCATGCAAATGACATTATTACACTTTAGAGATGTCATTTTCTTCTTTGAACAGTCAACTTGGCAAAATAAAAATAAGTGTTACGTAAAACATTAATTATGGCATTTTTCTAAAGTTTTAAAAATTTCAAAGTAAAACAAGTCATCTTGACAGATGTAATGCCATAAAATTGACATTCTTCAAATTTTTTATGATTATATGGCATTCGCATATTCCTGCTTTACAAATAAAATTGAAATCCAAATTAAAGAACAAGATAACAGAGTACCAAAAAAATGAAGAGGAGGAGGAGCCATAGGTAGGTTGAAGACGATTAAAGACAATGTGCAGTGAATTCTAGGATAATGATTAGTGAACGCATTGAATAATTTGTATTTATTGCAAGGAATATGACACAAAGTGCACTGATTATGACAAGAAGTGCAATGATTCGACAACAAATGCATTGATAATGAGAAGAAGAGCAATGATGTAGAAAATTAATATTGACATAAAGTGTACTTATAAGATTTAAAAAGGAAAAATAGAACTACGAATTCCTGACATTGTTTTAATGTCGTGCCATAACTCCGGAATGAAATGCAGTGACCCTAGTATAAAGTGCATTAAATTTAACTAAACATAAAACTAAAGTTATCAAATCTAAAAATGAAAAAGAGAACGATAAATCCATAACATTTTAGTAATGCCATAAAAAAGGTTTTCGTAATGCCGTGAGTAAATTCCTCATGAAGTGCAGTTAATGTCGTGCAATAACGCCTACGTAAAATGCATTATTTTTAATCAAATGATAGTAGTGCAAAATGCACTTTAAAAAAAGGTATTTTTCATATTTAAACAATTTAATATGACGAATTTTTTTTTATTTTATACATAGTATTTATTTATAGTCATATAAATGTCTAAAACAAGGCTAGTCATATTTTGGGAAACCTAATGAGTTTTAATCATATCATGAGAAATTTTCATAGTTTTAATTATATTTTATGTGAAAAGGTTTTATTTCAATGATATTTTTGAAAACTCCTGTAAAAATGTTATACATATACAGATAAGAGAGTAATACATTTGTTCCAATTTCGAAGGAGACAGATTAGAGAGTAATACATTTGTTCCAATTTCGAAGGAGGGCGGACCCCCTATATATCCGTGCATGCGGATCTCGAAGACATATCTTAAGCGGGGTTTGAAAAATTGAATGTTAAACAAACCAAATTGTAATCAAACTAAACTGAACCGTAAAAAAAATGAATCAGAATGCAAAAAAAACTGAACCCATCCATAGTTGTTTGGTTCGGCTTCGATTTCAGCCTTTCAAAAATCGAATTGAACCAAATTAAACAAAATATTTAAAATATGAAATTCTAATTAGGTCTCTTTTTGTACAAATGAGAAAGTAGTCATTTATTTATCCATTGAAAACTCATAAATAATATTTGTGTTATTCTTTCATTTGTAAAATCTTATTTGTCTCTCTTTTCTTTTTTTTAAGCAAAAGGTGTGCAGCGTGCCATTATTCATACGGAGTATTAAAAAGCCAAAACAATATTCCTTGTTAAATGCTCCATAAAAGATAACTGTCAAAAAAAATTAATCAAAACCCTAGTGGTGTAGTGGGTGCGCAGAGAAACAAGCCAAATAAAATTAACCGGATAAACAAAGTACGAACATGTTCTTCTTCGTGGAAATTTTTTGGCAAGGAAAGGGTTTCTGTTTGAACAAAAATAGCAAAGCTTTTAGTTTAAAAATCATCTGAATCCGATGATGGTTCTCTATGGCTTCAATGAGTTCAATCTTTGCCTTCAATGGCTTCTTCAAGCTTCCTTCTGGCGATCGCTCCCTGTGCAAGCATCCTGCAAGAGTGTATGGCTTCTTCAAGCTTCCTTCTGGCGATCGCTCCCTGCGCAAGCATCCTGCAAGAGTGTGGGCGGCAATGAAAACAGACCTGCCTCCTCTTTCCCCGCCTCTGCCTCCAGGTCCATCCAGGTAATGTTTTCTCCTCTTCTCCTCCTTTTCCTTTTCTTTCTCCTTCTCCCCCTTTCTTCACATTCTTGATTCTTCCTTCCTTTTACCGAGCTCTCACAACTGGACCAATCTCAGGTTGGAGCTAATGGCTGATCCCACTAAGGGAGAGACTTTCACAGAGTGTGTGGAAGAACCTCTCCGGACCAAACTCAAATACATCGATGCTGCAGTTTCTTTCGGCTCCAACGTCTTAACTCTGGCTAGTGCCATCTATGGCGCTGTCCATGTGGTGTTGAAGGCGTGTAAGAAAGAAGCGTGGATAGAAAATGTTGATGCTCTCTTTCTGGTGATCTCTGGCCTGAGCTGGGTGGTGTTCAAAAATCTGCCTCTTCTCCTAGCTGTTATCAAGCTGTTCTTTTAAGGGCTATTTAGTTGTCTAATGTTTGTCTTGTAATGGCTGTTCTTTTGAGCTTTGTAGTTGTCAAAACTTTGTTGTAATGGCTTTTAAGAAAAAATTGCATCATCCACTAAATTGCCGTAGACATGAGTCTCTCCTTCAGATGTTGCCACTTAATTTGGAGCACATCCAAATAAATGAGATTCTTGATTAACTTGAGAATGGCTAATTATTAATGTAACACATAATGGGCAGGGGAGAAGAACAACCCTATAGATTGCCTTCTCAAGTTAATCAAGAAACTCATGTATTTGGATGTGCTCCAAATTAAGTGGCAGCATCTGAAAGAGAGACTCATGTCTACGGCAATTTAGTGGATGATGCAATTTTTTCTTAAAAGCCATTACAGCAAAGTTTTGACAACTACAAAGCTCAAAAAAACAACCATTACAAGACAAACATTAGACAACTAAATAGCCCTTAAAAGAACAGCTTGATAACAGCTAGGAGAAGAGGTAGATTTTTGAACACCACCCAGCTCAGGCCAGAGATCACAAGAAAGAGAGCAGTAGCATCAGCATTTTCTATCCACGCTTCTTTCTTACACGCCTTCAACACCACATGGACAACGCCATAGATGGCACCAGCCAGAGTTAAGACATTGGAGCCGAAAGAAACTGCAGCATCGATGTATTTGAGTTTGGTCCGGAGAGGTTCTTCCACACACTCTGTGAAAGTCTCTCCCTTAGTGGGAGCAGCCTTTAGCTCTAACCTGAGATTGGTCCAGTTGTGAGAGCTCGGTAAAAGGAAGGAAGAATCAAGAATGTGAAGAAAGGGGGAGAAGGAGAAAGAAAAGGAAAAGGAGGAGAAGAGGAGAAAACATTACCTGGATGGACCTGGAGGCAGAGGCGGGGAAGGAGGAGGCAGGTCTGTTTTCATTGCCGCCCACACTTTTGCAGGATGCTTGCGCAGGGAGCGATCGCCAGAAGGAAGCTTGAAGAAGCCATACACTCTTGCAGGATGCTTGCGCAGGGAGCGATCGCCAGAAGGAAGCTTGAAGAAGCCATTGAAGGCAAAGATTGAACTCATTGAAGCCATAGAGAACCATCATCGGATTCGGATGGTTTTTAAACTAAAAGCTTTGCCATTTTTGTTCAAACAGAAACCCTTTCCTTGTTCAAAGATTAGGAATATGTTGAAGGTCAACAGAATTATTAATGGAAGGGCATTTTAGTCTTTTCATATGGGATTGGGGTGAAAAAATAAAGATTTTTAAAAACGGGTTGCAAAGTCCAATTTAGAATAATATGGGGTGCAAACTCAAATTATCCCTTAAAACAACACGAAAGCAAAAATGAATAAATAATTATTTGTATACCTGATGTTGCACAATTTTAATTTTTTTATGTTTATATCCTACATAATTGTTGTGGTGCTTCCCGACCATGCTTTGTTAAAAGTTAGTATCGGTTATATGGTTTCAAGTTTAAGCGAAGGTGTAAGCTGTGTGAACACTATGGGTTTCTTGGTTTCAAAGGTTTATTTATATACTTCGGTTTTTAGATCCACCTTAGGCTTTGTTGTTAGTTATGGTAGAATTTTGAAGAATACAACACACAACCATATTAGTGTGGGAGGTAAGGTTCACGGGTTTAATTAGTTATATACAGCTTCTATAACTCGGTAAAAGAATAATCGCATAGATTCTTATTTGAACGGGAAATAATACATTATAGAAATGTAAAGATTAGATTTGAAATTTTTGGGTTAAATAATATACGCATGTCTATTAGCAGTTGTTTAATTTGGAGTCTCACTGATTATATCTTATCTTATGGAATCTTCAATAATACTGAGTAGTTTGTGTATAGTCCAATTTAAAATTTTCTGAAGTAGTCTGTTTAATATATTTGTAAAAATTGTTGATTAATTTGAATATATAAAACAGATGAAAAATTCAATGAACAATGTCTATGTATCCGTTAGATCTGTTAGTTAGTTGTGAATGTCGTGGTTTGTATTGAAGTCTGATTAGGTTATTTTCCGAAAAATAGCTATTCGATGAGATGGTTCATGTATGAAGAGAGATTGTGCTTACCGTTCTCATATAACTCTGAACGGCAAAAAATCTTTAAGCTCGACGGAGAGTCCATTGATTCAAGACTGGATATGTAGACACTCTGTCACTGACCAAGGGAAGCAAACTCAGTAGTCCCAATTTGGACTTCGTCTCCCTGCGCATAAAACACTTTCCCTCAAGGATCAGCGATCTACCCACTAATAAAGCAAAGAAATCCTATTTTGAAGACAAGAATGGCGTTACCTTCTACAGAGACGTCGGCTAATCCATGGTCGTGGCTCTTCGTCGAAGTTAATCGCACCTCTCCCAGTTTCTCTCTAACTAGAAGCGTGTGAATTGAAGATTATGAAAACAAGCTCCACTTCTCTCATCAAAGAACAATCTGGAATGTAGGGCTGCACACTTTTGGAGTATTATGTTTCGTTGCCCTCATATTCTCTCTTGGACACTAGCTTCCACTATTTTTGCCCTTGGCCGGTGTTGGCTGTTTAGAATTGGGCATTTTACTTTAAGGGTTGGGCTTCCATCTATCTCTCTTTGTAAAATTTGGTAAATCGGTAAGAAAAAAAAAATTGGTAAGGTTCTAATGGGAGTGAGTGTGTGTACTAGAGTGCAAATAGCTTCCTCATGAGATTCGGTTGAAATTCATGAAGTTCTGTCAAAAGTGATTGTATTGGCTGATTATATTGATTTATGAAATGATTATATGTAAAATATATTTTATTAATAAAATAAAGAAAAACTATATGAAAAAATAGTTGGAATGGTTTTCTACATAAACTTCAATCTTACTTTTTCTTATTATTAAACAATTCAACGCAGAAAATAAAAAATTACGTGTTTGATAAAAAAAGTTGGTTGATAAACAAGATAAACCGAAATACAGGGTCACCAAACGGGTCCAGGGTGTGAGTGAGTGTATGTATTAGAGTGCAAATAAGTTCGGGGTGTGAATTAAATGACTTGATGTATATAAGATCTCATGATTTGGAATTTAGTAAAGTGGTCTGTTGGAAATTAAATAAATGTTTTGGAGCGTGAAGGATGCTTCTTTTATATTCCCTTTGTATTTAAAAGGTCACTACATTTTTCTTTTTGTGGATGTATTTTAAAAAATTCTACACTTCCCCCATTAAGAAAAGTTTTATCTCTTGAAATACATGAATACCATTATCTTATTAAGAGTGGGTACAAACATCATTTTTGTATTTGCACATGCTTTTGCTTTTAAAAAACATATTTTAATTGATTTTGGAAAAAGCGATTAGTAGTAAAAGTTGATAGTGTTCGAGAAAAAAATGATTTTGAAAAATAAAAAGTTGGTTGTGTTTGGTAAAATATATGCTTTTTGTGTAATAGAAATAGTAAAAAACACTTTTCAGCCAAAAATCGAGAAAGGCTTTTTAGTAGAAGTTGTCACTTGAAAACACTAATTTTGGCCTTATGAGTCAATATTTTCACTAAACACTTAAATTTTGATTTTGTGTGTGTACTACATAATAATCAAAATAACTAAGATTGACGTTCTTTTTTCTAACTGCATTGACTGAATTTCCTGTAGAGAATCATTTTAGTCATTTTTATATAATTTTTTCTTTACTTTATTAATAAAAGTTTTTTGAATAAAAAAAATTATAAATCAGTAAAATCAGCCAATTCACCCACTTCAACCAAAACTTCATAAATTTCAATAAAATCAGCCAATTTAGCTAATATCAATGTTATTAATCGAACGTCAACCAGAACTTCAGCTAATTTCAGTGTTACCAAATCAACCAATTCATCTACTTCAATCAGAACTTCACGATTGCAAATATAAGTCAAAGAAAGTCGTTGGCGCATGTTAGTTTGATTTTCAAAAAACCTATTTATGTCATTGTCAATTTTATGTAGTTGTGTCAAGAATAATCAATCATCGAGCGTTAAAATATTACTGCCCACATCCCACTAACATTGAGACAAAAGGAAGTAACACAATTATTAAGAAAAGTGAGTTTATGTGGTCGATATTGAATTGATAAAGCAAAAATAAAGTAAGAATGATTTAGAATCACACAAACTTTACCAAATTTGGAATGAGATAATCTTGGTAGGATTTTCCGAAAATGAAAAATGGGATCATCTTAAATGGACAAAGGGAGTACATTACAAAATTTACAAAGGAACGATCATTGAAAACAAAAATATTGTGTGTGAAGAAGTGTTTCTTAATAGTTAGCATTGAATGCAATGCGTTTTCAAATTATATTTATAATGCATGTCACTTGCTAATTTCTGGGATTAAAAATATTTGTGTGCTACTTCGTGATTATTGGTAAATTATTTTGAATGTATTTCATTTTATGTCAAACTTTATAATTGTATGGAGTATAATTTTTAAACTATTCAATTATTATTACAAGTTTTTTTTATTCCAAACTTGATTAAAGTTAATAACATGTGAAATTTCACCGATCGTGCATCACACATGTGTTTTATATCATGATTGTAAATAAAAGTCAAAGGCAATCATCGTGTGTTAGTTTGTTGTTGAAAAAACCATTTTTGTCATGTTCAATATTATGTGATTGTGTCAAGAGTAACCAATCGAAAACAATGAGTCATTTGTTTATTTGTCAAAATAATTAAAAAATAAATATAGGGTAAAGAGATTAGGTCGGTCGAGTTAGCAAGTTTTGTGATGAAATAATTTTTATTGCTCCAAGAACGTGGTGAGCACATTAGAAATCACTTGTGTGCATTGAGATTGAGTCACTATTTGGCTTGATTTGTTTCTATTGGAGGAGTTGGGTGCTGAGCACAATGAATGAGATTGAGTATATCTTGGGGTGTATGCATAAAATCCCGATTACGCCCCCCCCCCCCCCCCCCCCCCCCCCCCAAAAAAAAATACAAGTTTACAAAGGCGGTTAATTTTAAAAATGCAATTCGTATAATGAATGGTCAACGTATTAGTCCGAGGTTGTTGTCTAAAAAGAAGTGTTTCATAACATTTAGCAACAAGTCTAATGTGTTTTCAAATTATATACTGCGTGTAATCAGTGGTCAATCGAATTTAATATATTGCATCACATATCAAAATTCATTATTGTAGTGACTTTAAGTCTAAACTGTTAATTATTTTTATTCGAAATGATTCATTTAGAATTACACTTTTACTCTTTATTCCAAATTCACCACCCGTGCATTGAAAAACTAAACTAGGCAATATGTTTTTAAATATGTGAAATCCATCTGTTGTGAATCATGTGGCGAATATATAATCTCAATTATGCCCCCCCTCCCCCCCCCCCCCCCCCCCCAAAAAAAATACTACTTCAATACCATAATGCCCCCATGTGCTTTGCACGTTTACAAAGGCAATTCTTTTTAAAAATGCAATTCGTATAAATAATAGTCAGCGTATTTGTTTGAGGTTGTTGTCTATAAAGAAGTGCTTTATAACATTTAACAACAAGTCTAATGTGTTTTCAAATTATATTTATACTGCGTGTAATCAGTGGTCAATGAATTTAATATATAGCATCACATATCAAAATTCATTATTGTAGGGACTGTAATTTTGAACTGTTAATTTGTTTAGTCTAAATGATACATTTAGAATTACAAGTTTATTCTTTATTCCAGAATTGATTAAAAATGACTAAACATGTGAAAAAAACACCAACTGTGCCTCGCACGGAATACCAATGATATTCTGTATCACTATTCCTGAAGATATATTGATACACACAAATGGAGATCCTATAGCTGCAATTGTTGAAAGCATATTTCTGGAATATGTTGAATCTGCAGGTGATATTAGTTGTTTGCGCGACCATGCCATTTTGGCACCGACACTAGCTGTGGTTGAAGGCGTTAATGACTATATGATGGCTCTTAATGTTGGTGAAGTTTCAAGGACTTATCTGAGTTTTGACAGTGTTTCAAAGGTTGATTCTACGGCCGATTTAATGGCGGAACAACACACATCGGAGTTCTTGAATAGTATAAAATTATCCGATGTACCGAATCATGAGTTAACGTTAAAGGTATGGGCCCCAATGATGCTTTTGTGAAATATAGATCATTCAGTGGGGTTGGGTAATGGGACTCAGCTTATTCTAACGAGGCTCGGTGATCATGTTTTGGAGGGGAAGATTTTATTTGGGATCAGTGTTGGACAAAAGTATTAATTCCTAGATTGTCCTTGACCACAGTCGATGCCAGCTTGCTTTTCAAATTTCAAAGGCGACAATATCCTGTTATAACTTCATATGCTATGACTATAAATTAAAGTCAAGGTCAATCGTTGTCACGTGTTGGGTTGTTCTTGAAAAAACCGGTATTTACACTTAAACAGTTGTATGTTGCAGTATGAAGGGTTACCAATCGTTGTGGTTTGAAAATTCTAATTGTTGATTAAGATGAAGGAACCACTGACAAGACTTAGAATGTTGTATTCAAAAAGGGTTCAACAATGTTCAGGTTTACATGAAATGCATATTAACACTGTTATGATTTCTACGTATTTGTTGGATGTTTTTTATCTTTTAAATAATGATTAGTGCTCTCTTTTTAACCATAATACTATAAGTGTGTTTCGTTCATTGCTTTGATCTATATCAGTATTTCATGGAGACAGATGTTGTCATTAATTGATAGTGTAATTTGAATTGGTGAACACAAATAAATTTGAAAGAAAAACTCGTTGACCGTGCATCGCACGGGTGAGTTTACTAGTGGTCACTAAGGTAGCACGGGTGAATTAATTTTGCTGCATGTAAAATAGCATGTCCCCAAGCTGATGAAGGTAAATTACACTTCATTAATAATGGTCTAGCGATTAATTGTAATCGTTTAATCAAAGATTCAGCAAGACCATTTTGTGTATGGACATGAGCAACAGGGTGCTCCACATCAATCCCAATTGACATACAATAGTCGTTAAATGATTGGGCTGTAAATTCTCCTGCATTGTCAAGTCGGATTCTCTTTATAGAATGATCCGGAAAATGGGCTCTTAATCGTATGATTTGAGCAAGGAGTTTAGCAAATGCTAAGTTTCTAGTCGATAAAAGACTAACATGTGACAAATGTGTTGAAGCATCAATCAACACCATAAAATATCGAAATGGTCCACATGGTGGGGCTATCGGTCCACAAATATCTCCTTGAATCCTTTCTAAAAATGCAGGTGATTCAGTTGCAATTTTGTTCATTGAACGCCTGATGATCATTTTGCCAAGAAAACGGGCCTTACAAGGAAAATCACTTGATAATGGAACCCTAATATTCTTTAATGGGTGTTCAAGTGAAGTCTTGATGATTTTATGCATCATTACTTGACCTGGGTGACCTAAACGGTCATGCCACAACATGAATGTTTTCTGATCATCTAACTTTGTGTTAGAAACCAAATTTATTTCGAATGGACTAATATATGTGAAATATAGTCCTGAGGAATATACTGGCATTTTTTCACAAATATATTTAGTGTCAGATTTAGTTGTCGTAAGACAAATATATTCCTTTTGGTTTTCATTCATGGTTTCTATGTGATAACCATTTTGACGCATATCTTTAAACCTCAATAAATTTCTCCGCGATTTGCTGGAGTATAAAGCGACATTTATAATTATTTTTGTCCCATTAGGGAGCATCACATTTCGCAACACCTGATATTGTATTGACTTTAGCTTCAACTAAAGTCATTTGAGAAAAATATATTTTATTTCTCAAAATGGTGTGCGTTGTGGGGTTGTCTATCAGACATAGCTCTTTATCATTTGAGTGATCCATATTTGCATGAAGATGATTTCTTGAAGAGTTTTGAGCTTATTCGTGCTGATAACGTGTTGTAAAATGAAGAAGATAAAGATCAAACTTGAAAGATTGATATATTGATATAAACCTCTAGATCACTTCTTCTTAATATAACTGATAATTTCTGAGTTTCTTGAATTACCTTTACAAAGAATTGATCATCCTATTTATACTAGTTGGCCAGGAGATGAATCATCAAAGAATGATTCTACAAAATCTGCTGGCAACATTAAACTTAGCCATCTGTCTATTACAAGGATTGGAATTGAATTAGTGTCCTGATGACAAAGATAAACAATTCACACTTGTCATTCTCAGGAATTTACAACAGATTATCATTTATCGTGTGTGTACAGGAGCCTGTGGGGCTTCTCACGGACTAATTCTTTGGAGGCTTGTGAGAGGCCCCTCCAATGCCATTTGCTAAAAACTCAACCAAGATCATAAGGTCACACCCAACCCAACTCACTTTTTCCGGGCATGAGGTAAAGTATTTGAAATTTGACCCAGTCCATTGGCTCAGCCCATCATTACCCATCCTGTTTGTTCCAAGCTGCTAATTCCAACTGAGCTCAATCGTAAGCCCATTATTTGTAAATCACTTTTCAATTAATTATACACTCAATCTATAATTTGTAATATAAATAATACTACGTACGTAGTAGTAGACTAGTAGTGGAGTACTATGAAAAGTGACCCTAAATCAATTATAGAAATCTAGATTGCATTGTATTACGATTGACCCTAATTTGATTAAAAGATAAGACACTCGTAAAATCTATGATGTAAGCTCCAGAAAGAAAATCTGGACCATGAAAGGGAATATCTCACATATATTATTGCACCAGCATCAATAGGCTAAAGCCAACTTTCAGGGTTATCAACCAATTTTTTCACCAAACACGTAACTTTTGCTTTCGCGCGCTGAATTGTGTAATAAGCAGAAAAAGTAAGGTTGAAGTTACTTTTTGGCTGTATTGGATGAAGTTACTTTAGATGACCATTTTAGCTATTTTTACATAATTTTTTCTTTATTTCATTGATAAAATGTATTCTAAAAATATTTTTTTCTTAAATCAGCTGAAAATCAGCCAATGCAGTCACTTTAGCCAGAACTTCATAAATTTCAGAAGAATCAGCCAATTCAGCCGATTTTCTTGCTACCAAACGAGCTCCAAATTAGATGACTACATCTCACATATAGAAGATCAGGGAATGAAGTCATTCTTAATGATCGTTAGGTGAGAAATGTTTATTATAGAGATTGATAATTTTAGATTAGAAGATCAAATGTGGTACATCAGCATTTCAAGAGTGTACTGCCAAAAACTTAGCTATATGTAAGTTTGAACTTTTTTTCTTTTTTTTATTTACATTTTTTTGAATAGTGAACTCATTTCACTTGGTTGATTATAGTGGATATTGCAATATACAACCAATTTTACATTTTTCCTGTAAGCCCATATAGGCCCAACTCCATCAGTAAGATGTAGGTTGGCCCGGCCAAACCATTAGTTAATACTCCGTATATCTAGTTTGTATAGGGTCTGATCGGACCCAACCCAAACCCAATTTTTTTATGCAGGTGTGGTCTAACTTAGCTCATTGACGATCCTTATTAGAGATGATAGTAACTACAAAGATCTAAACAAAATATTTTGCTGGTTTCTAAAAATGCATGCTATATGTATCAATAATGTTTGGTGTAAACAAAGAATTACACCTTTTGCACACATTTATCGGTAGAGTTTGGCAATTGTGACCGATCCGATATATACCCGCACCGAACTGTCCTGGTCGAAACGGGGAAAACCGCATTGACCGGGTAACGGGTATGGGGCGAGGAATACTGGTTTTGATTTTACGGATAACGGGGCGGTTACGGTTTTATTCATGTCCGCCCATTACCCGTCCCATTTATTTTTGCCTATATTTTGGTTACATTTTTATCTATTATTTATCCCACAACTACTAAAAGATAAGATTTTATTATTTTCATTGTGTATATATGAATAATAGATGACTAACTATGGTGTATGAATGAAAGTTCATAACATATCTTAATAGTCGTGTTCGATTATTATCATTTCTTTTGGTGATTAATTTTTTTCATATTAAGTATTCTTAGGTTCAAATTAATTTAGGTTGTCTTCTTTCTAATTTTGTAGATATACGAAACTTTAAAGTGGCGTATGAGTCTAGAGTCGTCTAGGTGATGCCATTTTTTGGCTTTTAAAAAATTATTTTTATATTATAATATTAATGACTCATTTAATAAACCGATTACCCGTGGTTACCCGCGATTATACCCGTTACCCGTTGGAACGGTTATGGTTTGGTTAAAAATTACTTGTTGGGCAATGGAACAGTTACGGGCCGAGGCGGGGGAATCACCTAACGGACGGGTACAGTTATATGTAAAACCGTCCCTGATCCGCCCCGTTGCCATCCTTATTTGTCGGTCACAAACCTAGCTCTGGGCACATATGAATAAGAGTGTACTTATAGCGTGTATAGAAAATGTACAGATATCATAAGTTATGCAAATCTCTGCTCCTCATTCTAAAAACCGGCAAGTCCCCCAAATTTGACACAATTATGTAACAAGAAACAAAAATAAATCCAAGACTTTAAACGAGACAAATGAAATAAAAAAAGGAACTCTTATATTCGGAGTATAACACAACAATGACTCTGAACTGACTGTAAAATGTTACTCAAATTCTTACTATCCCAAAAGATGTTAATTAAGCTTCGGTGGAGCCTTCCGTTCCTACATCAAAAGAAGATGTCGTGGCTGGACCCGAAACATCAAAAGAGTTATCTATATATAGTAAATACTGAGTTCTGTATTTACTTCTCTCTCGAGAGAAGGTGAATAATAAATTAAAGATGCTGATTGGCCATGAAAGTTGTCAAGTTGGAGATGGAAATTTAAAGGTAGGTGGTGATGATAAGCTGGTGATTGGAAGGTGTAGGGAAATGTGTTTTTTGACATAAATATTCACACACACATACATTATACATTGCATACATGTCGTCAAAATCATTTTCGTCCTTTCCATGGCCAAATTTATGGATCCGGCCCGGATCCATTCAACCAGCAACCACAACCTCTGTGTCCTTACATCAGCCATACACTGCCCTAACCTGAGGTAACCTCCAACTCCTTCCTCCACCACCACTTATCTCTAATCAACAACTCAACCCGCCATTGCCGACTTCTATTTGTTCTCTTATGTGAGGTAAATTTTGGATTGAATCGAAGCTGCATTTTGGATTTTGAATAGCTACCATGGATCACTGCGCTATTCCGGATATCGAGATCGATGAGGACTGCTGCTCTCCTCTTCCCGTTGTTCCACAGCCGAATGTTTCTGGAAATACTAAGAAGTCTGCAGTGTAATTTGATTCCGTTTTCCCCTCCTTTACTAACTTGCTTTCAGAGTTTGCGGTTGAAGCTTATTTGTGATGGCCATGGGGCTGTGATTTTGCAGGGCAGAAGAGGAAATCATGGAGTTACTGTGGCAGAACGGTCAGGTAGTGGTGGTGCACGCTCAAAACCAGAGATCTGTTAAAAAACCGACTCCGTTCGGCGGCAGCGATGCGACGACTCCGCTTCCTCCCGCCGGCGACGTCAGATCAGCCGCGGTGGATGAAATGCCAGTGCCTCAGCATCTGTTCATGCAGGAGGATGAGATGGCGGCTTGGCTTCAATGTCCTCTGGTTGAGTATCCTATCGACCGTTATCTCGGAGCCGATCTACTGTATCCGGCAGCATCAGCTGCGCCGCCTCAGCGCGACGGCCGGCCATCCGCGTCTCAGATCCGACATCCACCGGCTCCTCAGTTATCCGCCGACGCTCCTCGGCCGCCTATACCTCCCGGAAGGCGAACAGAACCGGAAAGCGCGTCGCGTTTCCAGAACTTGGGAAACCTGCCGCGATTGGCTCGCCCGAATTTCAGAGCCGGAACGTCGAGAGACTCGACGGTTGTGGAGTCCAATGAGACGCCGATGGTAGGGAGAGAATACAGAGTTTCACGGGTGGCAGACAGAGCAGCACAGATTGCCGGCGGCAATGTAGGATGCGGGATGGAAGCTGCTAGAACATCAAACGGAGGAAAGGGAACGGGAACGTGTGAATTGAGTTTGACGACGTCGCCGGGAAACTCAGGCGCCAGTGTCAGCGAAGAGAAGTCAATAGCTCCGGTGGCGGAGGATCGGAAACGCAAAGCAAGAGAAACGGACGAGGAGGGCCATAACGCGGTAAGCAGTTTTTGCTCCTCTTTTCCTCTTTCCGTTTTCGCGAGTCATGTCGCGCACCGGCTGGCTATCGTGCGCCAGCCTGTCTTTCTGTCAATAATTAATTAATAATTACTCCCTAATAATATTACGACCCTACGTCAGAAGCTCTTCAAACTGTCGTTATGCAGTTGGATAATTGTTCCTCTCCCGCCATGATTATACGAAAGATTTTGACCAAAAGTAAGCTCACTTACTTCCCGGTTCCCACTCCAATCTTACGCCAAAAAGGAAGGAAATGTGTGCGCTGCATAAAAGCCGCCGGAATAATTTTTTTCAAGGATAGGGACATCTTAGCACATTAGTTTATTCTTACTTTTCTTATGAAAATAGTTTATTCTTACTCAATTCTCCATAGTCCATACTATCAATTATCAAACGTTTTACCTTCCTTTCTGATGTATAAAAAAATCTAACACTCATTCACCAAAGTTTTAGTGACAATTTCATTCCTTTTAGTGTTTTCAATAAATGAACTTGTTGTTAGGTAAATAGCTTTTCGTCCCTATCATTTTTAGACGGAAGAGTTGAAGTGAAAACGCTACAAATAGAAGATTTTGAGTTAATGTTTTGAAATATAGTGTTTTCTACCCATTGTTATGGTCAAATAGCTAAATTGTCATCCATCTTCCGGCAACCTGCCCACTTATTCTGTTACTCAGACTCGTTGAGCTATTGACAACCCGCTAACATAATCAATTAACCGCTAAAATGTCGAACACGTCTTATATCCTTGTTTATCCATATATTCCAAATTTGTCTTTCTAAAATGTTTATTTGAGATTGTTCCAAATTGATAAATTGATAATATTCCATTCGTTCCAAATTGCTTTTGCAAAAATTGATTTACGAGATTGTCCGAGCATCAAATTGCTTTTCCCTACTAATTTAAGTTAAGTGATACTCCCATCTATTTCATTTAAATCTTTACACTTTTCTTTTTGGGACGTCCCATTTACTTTTTTACGTGTCCTTTTTAAGTAACTCCTTTTACATTAAATGTCCTAACTACCCTTCACCATTCATCTACTTTTTACATTTGAGTGGATAACATTAATTTTCTCCAAAAGTAAAAAAGCATCCATGTCATTTGTTTTTCTATTAATTGAACTCCTACAGCACCGTGCCAAAAACAAATGTCAAGATTTAACCGGGACTTTTATAGAATTATACTAAAAGTTTTATAGAATCTCTTAAAAACATAAACCAAAACCATTACAACTTTATACCAAAATTAAAGAACAAAATAAACTGTGTTAATTGTATATAGGCCTGTCAATGGGTCGGGTCTAGACCGGGCCCGACCCGGACCCGATTGTTTTTAATGGGTACGGGTCTATATTTTATTCCGTTTATCCGGACCCGGATCCATATAATTCCGACCCAAATAAACGGGTCGGGTATGATACATATGATTCCGACCCGTTAAGGACCCAGACCCGTTTAAAATTTTTTATTTGTATACACAAACACTAATACATAAAGTGATTAGTTATAACACTTTAAATAAAATAAAAACTAATATACATATATACATAATAATACATAAAGTTATTAGTTGTGATTCTTCAATAAAATTATACACATTAATGCATAACTACTATATAAGTGATACTGATCGAGATAGTAATATACCCTAAAAACACAATATTTATTACTATTATTATTAATATTATTATATCATTATCATATAATATCGTATAATACTGTATATGATTTTATATTTTAGTAGTCCAAGAGACATTTTATGACTTAATTTCTAGTTTATTATATGAGCTTTTTGTGCGAGAGAAAGCGACGCAGAGTGTGGAGCTATATGCCTGTACAAGAACCAATACTTTATTAGATAAAAGTACTAATTTTCTATGAGAGACCTTGATTTTTTGTTGAAAAGTGAAGATATATTTTGCTTTTAAATTTGTGCACTTTGTTTTATATTTCACATACATGTCTTGTTATTTTCACAAAGTTTATAATGGTGTTCGTATCATATTTGGCGGGCGGGTCTACCTGACCCGATTCCGAGACCCGTTAGGTCTGAGTCCAGGTCCGGGTCCAAATTTTCAGACCCGCCGGATAAATGGGTCCGGTCCGGGTCCATTATTAACTTAGCAGGTCCGGGTTTGGAACACTACGTTCCGACCCGGACCCGACCCAATTTGTATAGTCTTCATATACTCTGTATATATTTTTTCAAAAGTTCACGATGGACAATTATGTTGAGTGGCTGAAAACAATAATTTGGAACATTCATGGGGGGCTGGGAGTGTACTTGAGTACTTCCTCCAACTATATATGTGAATGAGAAAGTGCCATGTACTAACAAAATGACTATGGATTTAATGTTGAATTTCAATTCTATAAATAATTTGAAGCATATGATGGGGCTCTCGAAGAGCAAAGGCAAACCAAGTACCTTACGTGGCTTATTTACACCGTCCAATACATTATCCAACCTGTCTTATTAGTTGGGCAGATTCATGTCTATCTTGACGCAGTGAATCCATCCATTATATCGTTTAATGGCTCTACCGCTCTAATTTCACAAGTTTTGAAATTCCAAAATAGGATTATCATATTTTTTTATTCTTTGAATATGAGTAAATTTTTGCCAAATTTGGCCTTAATAGGCTTTAAACATGACATTTTTTCTCAAACTTGACAGATTACTCCTATTCAGGGAATAAAAAACATGATACTCCTATTTTGGAATTTCAAAACATTTTTGCTCCTATTTAGAGCAATTTCTATAACATATATGAGTCCTCAAAATGGACAAATTATACCGTGGGATCGGCCCATCATGCGCATGGTGTGCCGATCCCCATACGGTACCGTTTTTGTCTTCCCACTCTCCCAACAATCTAATACTCTTTATTACATAAGTTTTATTTCTTTTTTGCTCCAGCTTAATGGTTTCTTTCTCTTTATTTTTCTTTTCTATTTTCTTCAATTCTTTTCTCCTTTACATAAAAATACTAAAAATTTATTTGTGACTTTACTTATCTTTATCTTTAACTAATTAAACACAGTTGAATTTATATTTTTCTCTATCAAATTATTACAAACTTTTATTAATTCACATTAAAATAAGTATGTTTTACTATCGTATTTCATAATCATACATTTTTTCTACTTTTTTATCTTCAACTGAAATTACAATAGAATATATTTTCTCTTTAATATTTTTTATATTTCATGTTCATAAATTTTTTTTCTATAATATATTTCTTATCTCTTTGTAAAAAAATATATTTCTTATCTCTTTGATATGTTATTAATGTTTTTAAGACATTAAATTTGATTTTTTCGATTTAAATTTCATAAAACATGAAATTATATATGTTACATTTTTCATATGTGTGAGTTATGTATATGAAGATACATCTTCTTATAGGCGAGTTACATCTTGTTGTGCATGAGTTACATCTTTCTATGCACGAGTTACATTTAGATTTGCCTCAACAAGTTACATTTTGCATACACCTAATTTAGATTTTTCATCAACACGAGTTACATTTTTTATAACACGGGTTACATCACAAAATAAACTCCAGCTATTGAAACCAAAAAATCATTTTTTTGCAAACAAAAATGATTGTTTGTTTTTGAAAAAAAATGATTTTCGGCAAAAAAATGAATATATTTTTGGCAAAAAAAAAATTATTTTTCTTTGAAACATTTTTATGTACATAATACAAAAACAAAACATATTAACTATTTATGTAACTAATTTAAGCAATTAGACTCCTTATTTTTATTGTTTACATTTGATAATATATGGAGTTACATCTTCTTATACGTGAGTTACATCTTTTTATGCGTGAGTTACATCTTTCTATACGCGAGTTATATTTAGACTTACCTTAACAAGTTACATTTTGTATACATCTAAGTTAGATTTTTGATCAAATTGAGTTACATTTTCTATAACATGAGTTACATCGCAACATAAAGCACTGCTATTGAAACAAAAAAATTATTTTTTGCAAAAAATATATATAATTTTTTGGTAAAAATCAATTTCTTTGGCAAAAAAGTGATTATTTTTTTAAGACCTTCATATTAAAAACAAAACATATTCACTATGTAACTAAACTCATGCTATAGAAACAAAAAAATGATTTTTTGGCGAAAAAATGATTTTTTGGCAAAAAAATGAATTTTTGGCAAAAAAATGAATTTAAAGAAATAACATTATTTATGGCCTTAATATTAAAAAGAAAACATATTCACTATTTACGTAAAATAATTGAACAATTAGATTCCTTGTTTTCATTGAAATTAATGTTTTATTTCTTATAATCCATATTAGACACGTTACATTTTGACTTGCCTGCAGATACTGAAAAAACAAAAAAGAAGTTACTGTTCACGTGTGAACAGTAACACACATTTTTTGCCTGGGAGCAGCATGCTCACCGTGGATTGCTCCCACGGTATAGCAACTGCTCAAAAAATGTAATTACATGAATTATCTATATTAAAATTTTCAAAAAATCACTCATGTTTTTTACTTTACTACAAGGCATATCGACACATCATAGTATCATACTATTATACGGAGTATTCGTTTTACTTGCCTCACATCCATAGTACAATTAGGAATTATATAAAAAAATATTAGCGTCTTAAAAATCTTATGATCAAGGCATTATGGGAAATAAGGTTCCCCTCAATTATTTCTCTTGTTCTCCGTCAAAGCTTCGTTGTGCTCTTGTGAGATCGAAAAACAACATTTCTAACTTATTTAGCCCGTAACATTGTAGAAGTCTCAATTTTAGTCCTGATTTTCTTCTTTAAAGAACTGTAAGTAATTTATAATATATATATATATATATATATATATATATATATATATATATATATATATATATATATATATATATATATATATATATTAAAACTAAACTAAAAGATTTGCAGAAAAGAAAAAAGTAATTTCGGATGCGATAAAAAAATTAGTACTTAATATTCGACAATGAAAAATAACTGTGTTGATCAATAGGATGTTTTTACTTGGACTTTAATTCGTCCCAGATCAGACCAGATCAGATCAGACCAGACCAGTTCAGACCAGACCAGACCAGACTTGGATAGTTATAAAAATACAAAGAAACCAGACCAGATCAGACCAGTTCAGACCAGACCAGACCAGACCAGCAAATTACAGTCCAAGTAGAAACATCCTAATTAGGAATGGATAAAGTTATATAAAAATTGGGTATTTTCAAAAATATTACTAAATTAAAACTCATTTATACAAATATGACTAATAATTACCCCGAACAATGTAGTGTCATGGTAACTTAAATTTAAAAATTGAACTTATGTTAATATTATTCCATTGCTGTAGTGATTAGTTATATTTTTGTAAATAATCTTTATTTTAATAATAAATATGTAATTATTTCATTAACATTTACCATGTAGTCGTAAATGTGTGTATGCATACTGAAATATTATGACTCTAATGGAGACATGAGCCCTTAGCAAAGACATGGAGACATGTGAAGCATTTCATTAACAGTTTAATGCTACCGCCCTACAAATAACTTAAGGTATGAGTTACCTTTTTTTCAATATATCAACTTAATAATAATATTTTCATAAAAAAACTTTACAATAATACTCCCTCCATCCCAAAAAATACATCTCAGTTTGATTGACACGCTTGTTTAAAAAGTGAGTAAAGTGGAAATGTATTATGATGATTGAATAAGAAAAATGCAAATGAATAGTATCTACACAAAATTTTCCAAAAAGGAAAATCAGAAAAATATTTTGAGACTTCCCAAAATAGTAAGCGGGAACAATTTTGTGGAACAAGGGAAGCATCAATATATTTATCATATGTAGCGTTTTGGGAAGTCACATTTTGGGCAAATTTATTTATTTGCTGAATAAAATTTACAGATATAATTACGGGGCCGGGATACAAGAGAGTATTTTATTAGATTCGTAAAAAAGTCATTAAATCTCTGTTTCGTACATTTCTCATTCACTTTGTCAGAAATTTCTATGGAACATTAATTAATATTTGAAAGGTTCCGCACATTAACTACTTGTATTTTATTTGGTTGAAAATATAAATAATTAATGGCCGTCGTGTGGTTCGAAACATTGAATTTTTTATTTGATTGCAAATAAAGAATAATGACCGTCGTGTGGTTCTTCGGCACATTGACTTTTTTATTTGGTTCAAAATAAAAAATAACGTCGTGTTTCCTTGGAAGCAAACATATATAAGTCTTGCATTCTTTGTTAAAAAGTCAATAAAACCCCAAAACACTTGTAATTTGTCAACAATTGGTTGGTGAAACTCCAAATGACTGTGGTCACTTCTTCTTCCGAAAACGAGTTCCAATTTGTTGCTTGTCATGGCGACAAGCATAGTGATTGTATCAATGGGTGGACACGGTTCCACTGTTTTTGAGGATCGAAACTAGTTCAAACCAAATGCAATTTTAAATGTGTGTGACCGGAACAAATATGTATTTAGGATAGGACGACTATAGAGATATAAGGATATAGTAATATATGTGTATATTGTGTAGATTATTGCAATAGTGTAATATTTATAATTGTAGCTATATATGAAGTAATTATAATAATGTATATTGTAAAAATATGTAATATTATACTTCACATTTCTAAAATAATTGTCATGTTTCTTTTTTTGATAAAAATATGTGGTTTATATGATTTTAATATTTCTCACTCAAATCTGAACCACACATTCTACCCTTCTTCAACAATACTAATATTATGTGCGCAAAAATAAATAACACCATTAATCTAGCGTAACAAAATAATAAGAATAATATTTTTAGAAGTAACACACCGACAGTATTATAAATTGTAAATTGCAATAAAATGTAAAAAATTAGTCAAACTATCCGAAATAGACCAGAACCAGCCCACAAACAATATAATCTAACATTTATGATTGTTTCGGACCAGCCCATCCAAAATCGGCCGAGTTCACCCCTACTTGTCTCTAGAATCGTTCGATTCAAAATTTAGCAAACGTCACGTTAAAGGCGTTAAAATGGGTCCGGTTCTATCACTTAATTATCACTTAGGGCTTATTATGCGGATGGCCAAGCAGGAAAGTGGCCCCAGTAGTGGCCCATGATTAATTTTATTACTTAGAGCCCAATTAGTGACTGAATATTCTTTTTAAGATGCCAATGATGTCACTAGAACCATCAGATTTACGTATCCAACGTTTGGGAGCAAACCATTAATCCAGCCAAACAAAAGTCCGGAAGGCTAATCAATTTACGTGACAGTGAATTTGACTGAAGTCGTAATGTCGTATTCAGAAATAAATTCAAAAGTACGGAGTAATAACAAAAGAGTACGGAGAATAGAATCTGAAATTGACGAGCATTTTTGGATGGGCGTGAAATTGTGATCATATAATGAGATTGTTAGATTGAAAGTGAGACGAACGATCCCCATCACTTGTTTTGGTAGTTGTGGGAGTATGGCTTGTAGTTGATTTTTTAATTTGAATACCTCAATTCTTCTGTCTGAAATATTTATACCTTAGTTAATACAACTAGATATAATTATATATTTATGGCTAAATTAATATTATTTACAAAAATATGACGAATGAGTAATGAAATCATAGTAACATATGTTTAATTTTTGAACTTAAGTTATCGCGACATTACATTTTAGTAACTATTAATCATGTTTGTAAATAAATTTTATTTTAGTAATATTTTTGTAAAATATTACTAAAATAAAATTTATTTACTCAATTTCTATTCTTGTATTTTTTTCAGACCTCCAACATAAGTGCCAATTCAATAAAAGAAGCGGTCCATTTTATATAATTCATTCATTCTTATTTAATTGCTATGTATTTGAATTTTACGTGCAAGAGCACACAATTTTAATTGTTAATATCTTTAATTGACTACTAGTAAAAACTACTCCTTATAAAAAACCATACTCTAAAACTTTACTTTAAGACAAAGTTATAGTACGGAGTAGTAGGTATGTTTTATACTCGGTAATATACTTTTATTATTATAATAATGAATAATAAATAAAATCAAAGTGCAATTTTAAAGAACTGGATATTAGTTTAATACATCGTTATCAGCTTTTTACCAAAACCATTAACTTAATAGGAGGAAAAAATCATGTACCTAAGTCGTTCTAAATCTGGTTGAACACTTGAACCTATCAATTTTTTTACAAGTACGTAGTAGTTGACATTATAGATCTATGAGTCTATGACTCCACAATACATGCCACTGTAAAATACTTAAATACCTTGCGGGCAAATCTATCCGTTCTCAACCATTTTGGGCCACGGCTTAATTCAGAAAAATAATTTTCATAACACTTTTAGCACTGTATATTGTCATTAAGGTTTAACATAATTAAAGAAAAAATAAGAAATGACACGGTCTTAATAGAAGCAGAGAGTAAGTTATCATTTGGCACATTAAAAAGCATACTGTAAATAGATTCTTGTCATTGCTAGTTGCTTATTGTTTTTTAATGAATTGATATGTATTACCATAGGAGGCTGAGTCAGCGTCTGCTGATGCAAAGAAGCAATCCCGTGCTTCCGGATCGACCAAGCGATCTCGTGCTGCAGAGGTCCATAATCTCTCCGAAAGGGTACGTATTGGAATATGCATCTCGCAATGAAGGAAACTTTCTTCATGTTTTCGTTTAATGTTCATTTCTCACTGGCTCACTGCTAAGATATTAAATGATAATGCAGAGGCGTAGAGATAGGATTAACGAGAAAATGAAAGCTCTGCAAGAACTAATCCCACGTTGCAACAAGGTTAGTTTTTATTCTTCCGTACAAGTGAACTATATTATGATTCATTCATCATTTCATCCTCCTCCCTATGTGTACACTGAAGTTATTCTGATAGCTCTTTTCTTGAATTCAGTCAGACAAAGCTTCAATGTTGGATGAAGCTATTGAGTATTTAAAATCATTACAGTTGCAAGTGCAGGTATTTTTCGTTGCAAAGAAGGTGGTTATGCTCTTTCTCTTTTTGCTTCACAGTTCTGCATTTCATTCACTCAGTGGTAAAGACTGATTCGTTGCCCGAAATCTACCTATTTCGAATAACTCTGTTTTGTTCATTCCAGCATATGATGTAATATCATGTGATTTGGACCCTCGATGCAGTATCTACACACTTGTAGTTATCTAATATAGGACCATACTTGGATTTCATAAAAAAAAATCTCTTGAGTTCACGTTCAATGGTGGGATACGTAAATAAGAAATATCTGGGGCAAATAACATTATTACAAAATCAATGAATAAATGTTTGATACTGTATTTACCAATGCTCTTTCTACTTTCATACATATCAATCCCTCCCGCTATATGTGCCTCATTTTTCTATTTTAACCATTCTTAAAGTGTTTTTATTGGTTATATTTATGTAGTTCAGATCTTAGAAGTTTTACAAATAGGACACTAATTACTCAACACTACTTCAAAATAGGTTTTAAAAAGTAATCACATGTTGTTAACCTTTGCATTTTTTATGTTAAAACCAAACAAAACATAAATCATTTTCTTTTTCATTTTTTCCATTTCCTATCACTGTGGTCTGTGGGCGTTCCGATTTCCTATCATACCCCTAAGGATTCTGATCCTGAAAGAACCAATGTTGTTTAACAGATGATGTCAATGAGCCATGGATGTGGAATGATGCCAATGATGTACCCCGGATTCCAGCAGTACATGCCTGCTGCAATGAGTCTTGGGATGGGGATGGGAATGAACCCACAGGTCGGACCGTACCCAACTGTTCTTCCAACTTCCTCCATGCCAAACCCTTCCCCTGCAACATCTTTAGGTCCAAGATTCCCTATGCCCACTTTTCCCATGCCTCCTCCCTTTCCTGTTCCGGATCCCTCAAGAATTCCGGCTCCTAACCAGCCACCACCAGATCCTATGCTAAACTCTCTTGTCCCTCATAATAATTCTAACCAATCGCCTTTCCCAATCCCCCCCACAGATGCATACCAACATTATCAGCTTGGTCTTCATCACACCCAAGTCACACATCAACCGGTAAGTTGGTATATGCTCATTAGGGATGGACCCGGTCTAGAACTGTAACTCTAATGGGGGCATACTCAGACACTCAGTCCAGTTCCAGTTCTCGAGTCAATTCCGGTTATTAAAGAGCCTTCCGGTTCTTGAATAATGCCTGGGTGACTGGGTCACCCCTAATAAGGGTACATACATTATAGTTGGTTTATTTATCCCTTTGAGTTTTTTACTCACTAGCTCTTTACTTATCAGAAGATGGAACATCATATTAACAAGCTAGCTAGCAGCAGCAAAGATGTTAATAACCCGACGAACCATCAATATGGTAATTAAACTTCCTCTTCTTCCAGTCCTGATTAAGAATGGACATGGGAATTTTGTGGTACACATAAATCATTCCCTATTTGGCAGAATATTGATGTTTAAATATATCTCTGCATTTGCAGGCTGAATTCCATGTGGATAGTATATGTAAGAGGCGTCTTCCCCAAACTAAATTTTGTAGTGTAAACAAAAAGAGGAACACAATGCAGAATTGCAGACACATCTGGCATATTTCATACAGATGAAGCTTGCAGCTAACTTGTAATTAGTAAACCAATCTTCATTGTGATTTCAGTTAATTAATGGAATTATTTCTGATTGTTTCCAGTTTAACAATTGAACTGAGGCAATCGTTTGACAATAATTAATGGACTAGACTATGTAAATCCAAAGAAGCAACATGTTCATTCTGTATTGTGTAAGGAGCCCTTTGGTGTGCGTTTGTAATCCCAAAAATGTCAAGGAAAGAAAATATGTATGAAAATGTAAGCAAATTTTGGAAGGCACGAAAACTTGGAACACAACTATTGGTTCAAACTTGATAGTTTTAGATGAGTGGAACACAACTATTGGTTTTGACTTATAGTTTTATGCCTGGAACACAACTACTCCAATAGTAATGTTCCACGCATCTAAAACTTTTAGATGTGTGGAACATGACTATTGGAGTATATGACATTTGTGCAAACTCTTTTTTATTATCTAAAGAAATCCAAATATATAATAACATTGATGATGTTTGTGCAAACTCTTCGAAAAGGTTTCTTTAATTCTACATTTCTACAATACGATGTATAATTTTTTTGTTCAAATTCATTTTTATTATTTGTTTCTGTTAATATAAAAGACTAAAAAGTCTAAATTTTTAAAAATGTTTTTAGAAATGGTCTGTCCTAAAATATTACCGGAATAAAATTAATAGACAACGATGTGACTAGTTACAATTAGGGATGGACTCGGGTCCGGGCCGGGTCCGGGCCGGCGGGTCAGAAATGGTGGACCCGGGACCGGCCCGGGTAACCACCGGGTCCGGTCCGGGTCCGGGCCGGGCCCATTATATATATATTTTTTGTTTTCCTCTTCCTAATTAACCCCCTCCCACCCCCAACCCCCCAAACCACCCCAAATGGCCCAAAATACCCAGCCCAACCCGAAAATTTAAAAAAAATTGAAAAAAAAGAAAAAAAAATAGTTTTTGGCCCGAACCGGGTCCGGGCCCGACCAGGTCGGGCCTTGTTTTGGGTGACCTGAGCCCGGACCGGAAAACCCACGGGCCGGGCCTACCCAGACCGGTCACTGACCGGGCCACCGGGTCGGGCCGGAACAGTACCGGTCCCGGGCCGGTTCCGGGTCGGGCCACCCGGCCCGATTCCATCCCTAGTTACAATACGACTATCAGGACCATTACACTATAAAATTTAAACATTATCATAACCACTGAAAGTTACACCGCACTAAAATAAGCACTACATATAAATAGGGATGGACTCGGGCCGGGTGGCCCGACCCGGAACCGGCTCGGGACCGATACTGTTCCGGCCCGGCCCGACCCGGTGGCCCGGTCAGTGACCGGTCCGGGTAGGCCCGGCCCGTGGGTTTTCCGGTCCGGGCTCGGGTCACCCAAAACAAGGCCCGACCCGCCCGGGCCTGGTTCGGGCCAATTTTTTTTTTTTTTTTTCAAATTTTTTTTAACTTTTCGGGTTGGGCTGGGTTTTTTGGGCCATTTGGGGTGGTTTGGGGGGTTGGGGGTGGGAGGGGGGTTATTTAGGAAGAGGAAAACAAAAAAATATATATATATAATGGGCCTGGCCCGGCCCGGCCCGGACCCGGTGGTTACCCGGCCCGGACCCGGACCGGACCCGGTGGTTACCCGGTCCGGTCCCAGGTCCACCATTTCTGACCCGCCGGCCCTAGGCCCGACCCGGACCCGGCCTGGACCCGAGTCCAACCCTACATATAAAATGTTGCATTTTGTCCAATATCTTTATTTTACTTATATTGGCTCAATATTTCTTTTAAAAACAGTAATTATATTTCATTTTCTTTTACATTTTTTATATAATAACCAAAAACATAATAGCACTCACGTCAGCCACTTTAGTTCATTTGATAGCATTTTCACAATTCAAACACACCACTTAGCTATAGTTTATTTTTTATTTTTGAAAAAACACACATCACACATCATACAACAACAACATCCAAGCCTTAATCCCATAAAATTTTGGGGTCGGCTAACATGAATCGATCCATGATATCGATGCTAAAAAGAAAAGACAGAAAAAGAAGTACTTGAGAGAACACTAATGTACAGACTAACTTTTTGAGGAGCAAAGATCACAAACTATTCTGTTTTATACAGTTCTCGCATCATCGTCATTCTGAAAGCAGCTTCAATCTTCCACAGCAGCAAATTAGTTACAATCCAGAATATGCTTAGGAGCTGAGCATCAAGGATTAATGGCAGATAGGATCTGCACATTGACATTTCACCAGGGCTAATTAGTTGTGTTGTGTTCCATGAAAAACCAACATATGTGTATCCAGAAACCTGATAGGGTGCTGAAATATCAGAGGCGCAAGAAACGAGGAACAATCGTTGACTGAGTCTTCATTTACTTATTAATTATTGTTTATTTGTTTAAATGAGTCGGTTAGAGAAATAAGTGGGGTTTGGTGTCATGCATCAGTCCACTTGGTAGTTAGTAGATCATGGATCAGTAGGTAGTTATTAGATCATGGATAGAGTCAGTTTACGTCAGTTATTAGTCGGTTATTAGTCAGTTGTATTTCTTTCTCTATGAATAGCCTAGCCATATTCATGCTAGGTATGCATGAATGAATATTATTTCCAATTTCCAGATATTCTCTTGGCTTCTATACCTTTCTTGAGTGAGATTCTTACTTTGAAAGGGAATAGGAGAGTTATTTCTGAAATTCCTGTTTTAAGTTTGTTTGATAGCTTCTGGGTTCTACCAATTTGGTATCAGAGCCGCGTTTTTGTCCATCCATGGTGACCACACGCTCATCAACGGCAACCCACAATCCAGAGGAAAATCCATTTTCTGCCGATCCTCTGGCCACCATTGCAGCAAAACTGGAGACACTAGACGAGTTAAAGGAAAAGGTGATAGCCTTGGAGATTCAAGCCTCCAAATCCAACCGAGGGAAAGGGAAGACGAGACAGTGGGCCGATGATATTGAAGAAGAATCTGATTCCCACCGCCCGCGACCACCACAAGCAAAAATTGAATTCCCGAAATTCCAGGGAGGTGACCCGCGTGGGTGGATTTTTAAGGCTGAGAAGTTCTTCCGTTATTACGAAACACCAGAAGATGACAGGGTGGACATAGCTTCAATGTATCTGGAAGGAGATGCTCTGGATCTGTTCTCGTGGATGAATACAGAAAGGACTTTGCTTTACCGGGAAGAATTGGTGAAAGCTCTAGAGGAACATTATGGGCCTCCAGAGTACTCCCAGACGAGAACTTGTGCAACATTAAGCAAACAGGTTCTGTAGCGAATTACCGGCAAGAGTGGGCACGAAGGATTGCACGAGTAACCAACTGGCATTAGAATTCATAAACCAAGGTCAGTTTATCGGGCTGCTAGTTTAGCATTAGAATTTGAGAAAAAGCTAGCCCAAATGAAGGGGTACAGGCCCAATTCGTACGTTTGTCAGAGTCAGCCCACCTCCAATACTAATCCCATTATTCCAGCACGTGACCAGGGAGTGACACAAGGAAATTCAAGTACGTCTTCTTCTTCGACAAACCCAAACAGAACCACAAATTTACTTCCATCCGCAGCACGCTTGTGGGAAGAAACGAAACAGCAACGGTGCGACAAGGGGTTGTGTTTCCGCTGTGGAGACCCATTCCGACCAGGCCATCACTGTTCTACTACGTTTTCGTTGCTGGAAGTTATAGAAGACAAGAATTCAATGCCAAACTCTTTGGAATTAGCCGAAGGCACAGAACAGGAACCAGGAGTAGATGCTGAGATTTCTTTTAACGCCATCCTGGGCAGTCCAACAGCAACAACAATGCAACCGCGTGCCTTGTTGGCTAACAAAGAAGTATTGTTGTTAGTAGATAGTGACTCAACTCACAATTTCATATCAGATTCACTGGTAAGGGAACTTGACTTGGCCACCTCCTCTACTCAGACAATTGAGGTTCAGCTTGGTGACGGTCATGTGGTGCGTTCCAACTGTGTGTGCAAGGAAATTTCAGTACAACTTCCAGGTTTGACCATCACCCAAGATTTTTATCCATTTTCCCTTGTGGATTCTGATATTGTACTGGGAATTAAATGGCCTGCATCACTCAATACCATCCAATCTAATTGGAATGAGATGTTCCTCATCTTCTGGGTGAATGAGAAGAAATATAAGTTACAGGGAATATCAAAGAGAGAGCGTCAACCTGCAAGGATTAATCTTATGACCACAGTGGAGTCTGCATTTAGTACACCTCGACCTGGCTCACTTAATGTGGAAAGGGTGTTTATGGAATCTGAAGCTGTATTTGCAGAACCAGTCGTCATGCCTCCATTCAAAGATCATTCCCATGCCATTCCTCTGATCCCAGGAGCTCAACCTCCCAGCCTGAGACCATACAGGCACCCATATTTCCAACAGAATGAAATTGAGCGACAAGTAGAGGACCTTCTCCAGAAAGGGTTCATTAGTCCCAGCTCCATTCAATTTGCAATTTGCAAGTTCAGTTCTGTTGGGGAAGAAACAAGATAAATCATGGCGTATGTGTGTGGATTATCGGGCCCTCAACAAAATCACAGTTCCTGAAATGACTTCGGGCTGTCAGGGAGGATTCCTTAAAACTTTGAAACGGCTCTCAGGTACAGTTAGATCTCTCATTCAACATAGCTTTGTGTGTCAAAAGAGAAAATATGACGCATTATCACCTGCCGGTTTGTTACAACCCATACGTGCACCGCAACAGACTTGGGAAGACTATGAGTTCCTAGTACAACGATTTCCAAAATTTCGCCTTGAGGACAAGTCGGCTTTCAAAGGAGGTGGATAATGATAGGGTGCTGAAATATCAGAGGCGCAAGAAACGAGGAACAATCGTTGACTGAGTCTTCATTTACTTATTAATTATTGTTTATTTGTTTAAATGAGTCAGTTTGAGAAATAAGTTGGGTTTGGTGTCATGCATCAGTCCACTAGGTAGTTATTAGATCATGGATCACTAGGTAGTTATTAGATCATGGATGGAGTCAGTTTACGTCAGTTATTAGTCGGTTATTAGTCAGTTGTATTTCTTTCTCTATAAATAGCCTAGTCATATTCAAGCTAGGTATGTATGAATGAATATTATTTCCAATTTCCACAGATTCTCTTGGCTTCTATACCTTTCTTGAGTGAGATTCTTACTTTGATAGGGAATAGGAGAGTTATTTCTGAAATTCCTGTTTTAAGTTTGTTTGATAGCTTCTGCGTTCTACCAAAACCTGATTGGGAGCAATTACAAACTTTGATTTAAAAAGGAAGTAATACCTTCTGACAAAGCATATGAAACTCTTCCTTCTGCATTGCTTTTTCGAGTTCCTATGGATTGAACGTTTCTCAGATAACTAATGGAAAAGCAAAAATTGAATTGTTGCATACTTGCATTGAGAAGGGCTATATAGCACTTACCGACTCGGCATCTTTAGAGGAATCTATGCTGCATATAAGTTTCTGAATCTCCTCACTTCTTAAAGCCTCACGAATTTCACTTGATGAAGCTGATCAAAGGGAAGTAAAAGAAATTGTTGAGAAAGATAGACTTATTATATCTTTAACACATGCTTTGTGCTTTAATTTCAAATTAAGAATATAATAAACAGATATATGTCCATAGTATCTACATATACCTAGAGACTCAAATTGTGACTGCTTTAGCTCCTCACTTTGGTCATGGACGTAGACTGGTTCATCAACATTCAATGCTGGTAGAGTTGATGCTGTTAGACACGAAATGATCAACTTCAAGTCTTCAACTTTTTGAGTAGGCGTATTTACGTACACATTAAAATTTAAGTAGAGGCTTAATACAAGCATTTCTCTGTTGTTTTCCTAGAGTTCAACTAGAATTTTGCCAGTTGGGGGCATTGTTAAAAATTTAACCGATATAATGTCAAAAGCATAAGCAGCTGTTAGAGATGAGCATTACAGTCTTAAAAAACATTTAGTATGTTTAGATATTGGGAAATGCTAGGTAAAGGAATCCGTTAAAGTTTTTTATGAAGTATCTGTATAATAGATATAAATAAATAAACAGAGTGGAAACAAATACAACATCAATAACATCCAAGCCTTATTCCCAAAAGATTTTGGGATCGGTTAACATGAATTGATCCATGATATCGAAGAAAAATAAGAATAATGGAAAGATAAAGTAAGGTAAAACGAATAAGATAAAGATAAATGTAAGATAAAAATAACATAAGAACACAAGAAAGATAAACGATGAAAAGATAAAAGAGCATACAAAAGATAAAATACAAAAATAACATAAGAACATAAAAAGATAAAGAAGATAAAAGATAAAAAAAAGAGAGAAGAGAGAGAAAAGAGATTAATTTATTGAGGTTTAGAAGTTGTTCCCTTTACCTGATTTGAATATTTCTGTCTGAATTTTTTAAGATTTGATCTGATCTGAATTTTTCTGATCTGATCTGAATCTTTCTGATCTGGACAGACCTGATCTGAATCTTTCTGATCTGAATCTTTCTGATATGATCTGATTTGAATATTTCTATAAATATAATTATAATTATTATAATTGCACTTAGAAATATAATTTAAATGTAATTATAATTATAATCATAATTATAAAAAATTATACTTATAATTGTAATAATAATTTTAATTAAAATTAAAATTATAATAATTATACCTATTACACTAATTATAATTATAGCTATACTTATAATTGTAATTATATTTTTAATTATAATTATTTCAATAATTATAATTGTAATTATATTTATTTCTATAATTATAATCGTAATTATAATTATGAACTATAATTATTACTATAATTACTGCGTATAATAATAGTAGTAGTAGTAATAGTAATAATAATAATAATAACAATATCAACAACAACAATAATCAAAATCATAATCATAATAATAATAATACAAATAATTATAATAATAATCTTAATAATAATATTAATAATAATAATATAACAATAATTATTATTATAATTATTTTAATAATAAAAGTGATAAAATATGTTTGAACATTTCTGATCTGATTCGAATGTTTCTGATATGATCTGAATTTTTTTGATCTGATCTGATCTGAATAAAATAAGAATAAGCAATAAGTAATAAGAATAAGACGAAGAGAACAACTTCTTAGTCTACCTTTTTTTCTATATTATCTGATATGGTTTCCTTCCTATTTCTTTCCTAGTATTTTTCACATTCAAAATGCACCTGTGGAGTTCATTTGAAACTCGGAAAATGTGAGCATTAAGAAATACTCCCTCTGGTCCTAAATAAACTTCACACTTTCCTTTTTGGGTAGGTCCAAAAAAATTACTTCTTCTCCCTTCCTTATTTGGCAAATTATCTACATCAAAACAGTGCAAAACAGTGGCAAATAGTGTCAACAGTGCCAAACAGCATCACAATAGTGTACTCTACGGTAAAGTCAAATTTATTTCCTTAATTTGTGTGAAGTCAAAGTGTGAAGTTTATTTAGGACCGGAGGGAGTATAAAGGAAAGAAAATATATGAGAGGGGATAGGCTAAAATGCCATAATTATATTTGAGATATATGTTGATACTTGTTTTATTTATGTAAGATGAAAAAATCTAAGTATATATGAAGTACTACTTAGCATTGTTTTTTTCAATAGCATTTTCTAGGACTTAAATATAGCCTTAGCTAATTCCAGAGACATCGCATATTTACTACAAAAGGGAAAATGGTGGAATATTTTACAATGGAATATTTTACAAAAAAAAAAAGGATTATGCTTCATTCCATCCATCATTCAATTATGTCAATTCACATACTCTCAGCAACATTATACACCATCATCCTTAAAGTCACATCAAATGCTATCTAATAAATTTTCAAGTCCAAACATACATAACTGCATAATGTTTTTGGACACTGGAAACTAAGACAATACACTAACACTAGTTTCTTGCAGGGCAAATAACTTGTAAATAAAGTTTTTGTCCAAAACAACTTCCTGGACTAGAAAACAGTTCGTTCTATACTTCAATCTGTAATATAAAACTCCGTATATAATAATTTTAATCAACAAAGTCGAAAACATAACAAAATTCAAGAATTGTTCTTTTTAATTATGTAAAGGCTAAGAAATCTAAACTCGTGTAAGCTTTTATGAAGTAATACTGGTATTTCTCCATTCATATTCTCCGAGGTAAAACCAAAGTACCAAACATCGAAAGACATTTTCCTTTGTTCCCCCCTCCCTTTCTTTTACCAATTTATGAGCTCCAAACATCGACTTTATTGTCTTTTTCTGGGTGACAGAAACAAGAAAAAAAATTTAAGAATTTTTTTGTTCCATGTACGAAGCAAATGATAACTGGGAGCCTTTGCGGCACTGGGGTAATGATGATGATGATGACGAAGCAAATGAGTTAAAATGAATATAACCGGCTAGTAGCCATATAAAATCCAGGGCGATGGCACTAATTTATGGCAGACTATCGAAATGGACAATCAGAAAGAAGCAACAACAAGAAGTGAATTAAGGAAGAGCAGAAGGCAGTATAGTGTGTGGTTAAAGGCTTATTCTACAGTATGTTTCTTAGGCTCAACACCCAAAGAATGGGAATGGCATGATGCAATTGCACTGTTTCAAAAAGGGCTAGACAAAGGAGTTAGCCAAAGTAAAGCATAAATATGATCAGGCAGGGCACAGTCAGGGGAAAGTTCAGGACCAAGTAAAATCTAGTGCCTAAGCGGGGAGTTTCAGAACAGGGAATGAGGGAAAGTACATCTAAGTTCTGCTTTCCAGCACAACACATTCATCACTGGAATTAGCTAAAGACTCTAATTTCTTACAGAACATAAATATTTTATTGCATATATTGTAAGTTATTGAATTTGTTTTTTGTGTAGATAGTTACCTTGTTAGTTATCCTAACTCCTAAGTAATCTCGCATAGGTCAAATGGGGGAGTTTGGAGGGGGAGAGGGTGGAAAGAGTCTGATAGCAAGTTATTCAGCCAATTTTAGTGTTAGCAAGAGAATTGGAATGGGATTATAGGAGTATTTTTTTGGAAAGGGCAAAAAAATTAAGTCAAATAATCATGTAACAATATATAACATAAACACATCACACATTCAAGGAACACAACAAAGAGGAGTAAATAAAACAATTGCTAAATTGATAAAGTATTCAATTTTCTATAAAGAAGGTTCAGTTTATCCAAAAGAGTTAACATCCAATAGAAAAGCTTACCCAATTTTCCTTCAGAAGAAGATATCAGTTTTTCACATGGAATTTCTGCAAATTTGTCACGCTTCCTCGGGTCAGTCAATCAACTCCATTAATAATTGTAATAAATAAATAAAACATCAAGAAACCAAAAATAAATAATGAGTCTTTATGTAATAGGAAGTCCAAGATTGAACCTTTGTGTTTCTTAAAGCATGCCAATGAACAACTGCAAGAATTGAAAAAAGGTGATCTTTTTCAATTATTCATCCGATAATCTTTCTCAAATAAAGATGAATGGCAAGCAAGCTTACTAGTGTATAACGCAGTTGGGGCATTTGTATTTTGATTGAGCTTCATCGCAAACTCCACACTTTCTTGGCCCCATCTCTTCTTCTTAACTTCTGATTATCTCGAGCTTCAAGAAACAGTGAAACACAACTTGTGCCTGATTATCTAGAGCAGCAGCCGCCACTCGCCAGTGCGCCGTCCTGGCCGTCCGGCACTGAAGATGGACGTCGCCCGTCGCCCGTCGCCCGTCGCCCGTCGCCCGTCGCCCGTCGCCCGTCGCCCGTCCCCCCGTCTGGCCGTCTGGAATTAGTTTTTGGCCTTTGTGGTTTTGCCGAACTCGCTGAAGCAGAAAGAACGGACTGCTCGACTCTTCCCTGCGCCTGCTTTTTGGACTAGATTTGGACTGGGCCTGATTTTTAAAATTTGATTGGGCCTGATTTTAAACCTATATAATAGTTTCGTTAGTCAAGCATAAGAGTAAAACAATGCATTTATGCACAAGTCGGAGTATAAGTTTCGTTAGTCACGCATAAGAGTAAAAACGAATTGAATTGACCAAAATGACCTTAATGAAGTTCCACATTTAATTACAATAAAAATAAAAGAACAGGTTAAAAATAAAACAGAAACCCTTGCACTCTGTCGGTCTGCCCCATCTTATTGTGCAATTCCATCCGGAAAGTTCCACGCCGCCGCCTGGCGTGTCCGCCGCCGTCTCCTCCCAGCGAGTCTGCCACCTCCGTCTGCCGGTCGTCGGGCATCGCCGCCGCCTCAAAATTGGTCGGCATTGCAGATCCAACCACCGTCGTTGCATATATGACCATCGCCGCTTCAAATTTGGCTGGAATCACCGGAGATCTAACTAAATCCATCCTCTACCGTCTGTCGGTCACTGCCCGTGCAGGTCCAGCCACCGCCGCAACAAATCTGACATCGCGCGCTGCAAATATGTCTTCCACAGTTCTAGATCTGGTCATTGTCAGTGCAAATGCCAATTTTGTGTATCAAAATGCCAACAAAAATCGAGAATGCCATCTTAATGGCATTTTCAAAGGGTAAAACAAGTTTTTTGAAGAATAAGAATGCCACTTTAAAGGCATTTTCAGAGTTCAATCTAGTATTTTTTGTTTCAATTAGCATCTGTAACTTAATAGAAGGGGAAGAGAGAACTAGAGAAGAGGGGAGGAAGGACATGGAGAAAATCGGAGAAAAAACAGACCTGCGGAGAAGAACAACCGATTTATTCTGGCGAGCGACGGCGGCGAACTTTCCAAAGACGACGGAGATGGCTATTACTGTGCTTCTACGGTGATGGATAGTCTACCCGGGGGGTAGCTTACCCGAGGGGTTATTACGGGGAATAACTAGAGAGAAGTCAGAGCAAGTAAGTAGAGAGAGAGAAAGAAAGTATATTAGAAAGTATTCAGTGTTTATTGCGTCTTTTTTTTCTTGGTTACAAATGGAGAAATGAGTTGCTATTTATAGTAGCAATAAATGTCGGACGGGGACACATGTCAAGCATCCATTGGTCGAGGGGTCACCTCAACTGGTTGGCGCTGGCAAACGCATGTGGCAGCATTTAATGCGGCTGTTGGATGTGACGTCGTACTTGGTACGGTGATCTATACACATGTGAAGCGGATATTATGTCGGAAAAGGTGTCCTCGGCTGTAGATGCTTTAGTCGAGGGCTCTGAGCACCGGAGACCTCCTTAGTGCCGAGGGCTCTGAGCACCGGAGACCTCCTTAGTGCCGAGGGCTCTAGGTGCCGAGGGCTACTGATTTTCGCCGTTTTCTCCTAGTAACTTTGTTTTCCTGATTTGGCCATCCTGTGAGAATTGGAGTCTTCGGCCAGGGGGCCGAAAGCACCCCTGGTGCGCACTGTGGGCCGCTTGGTACTCTGGGCGCTGTGATTTGGACCTGTTATGCTTCCTGGGCCTGTTGGGCCTTTATTGGCGTAGTAGGAATTTGTGGACCGGGAGTTCCCGGGCCATATACTCCATCATACGGTTTGTGTCTCCTGTATGAGGGAGAAGAGAAGAGGATATGTGGCAACTAGAGAAGGTTTGCTCCAGATGCAAAAGATGCGCAAGGGAAGGGGAGAAGGAAGTGATCGTGTGTAGGAAAAAAAACAAAATAGGGGTAAATGGGTAATCTAGTCCCATTTAGGGAATAAATTATACATACTCCTATTTAAGAATTTTAGGAACAATTTAATCCTATTCACGGCAAAAAAACTCTTAAAAAAAGTAAAATTTGATCAGGGCCTTGGCCCTCCCCGGTCCTAGGCCCAATTCAGCCCGTGTTACACAAGAGAACACACACCAAAGCCCTCGAAAATTGGGCCTATGACAGACTAAAAGTTTAACACAGGAGAAAATTTTAAATAACTGTTTTTGGGTTGGGCTTTTATGGGGGCCCATAATATATACTTTTCTTTCGTCAGAAGAAAGGGCACTCCCAATCTTCCGCTGATCCACTCCCAAACAATTTTAGATCTTCTATTTCCCAAATCTCTCCTCCCTGCAGTCCGTATTTTCTTTGAAGTGGAAAATGGGTCAGGGAACTCCCGGCGGTTTGAACCGGCAACTCCCCGGAGATCGTAAAAATGAAGACAAGAAGGATAAGAAGTTCGAGCCGGCAGCGCCGCCTGCTCGAGTTGGTCGGAAGCAGCGGAAACAGAAGGGGCCGGAAGCTGCTGCTCGGCTTCCAACGGTTACTCCGCTTTCCAAGTGCAAACTAAGGCTCCTGAAGCTTGAACGGATCAAGGACTATCTACTGATGGAAGAAGAGTTCGTGGCTAATCAGGAGCGGTTGAAACCTCAGGAAGAAAAGACTGAAGAGGATCGATCCAAGGTCGACGATCTTCGGGGGTCACCTATGAGCGTCGGAAATCTAGAAGAGCTCATCGATGAGAACCACGCCATTGTTTCTTCTTCAGTGGGGCCGGAATACTATGTGTCTATTCTATCTTTCGTGGATAAAGATCAGCTCGAGCCTGGATGTGCAATTTTAATGCACAATAAGGTAGCTATCTTGTTAGATTTTGTAATACTCCGTATTTTTATGCTGAATTGCATTAATTTGTAAGTGATTGAACTATTAGCCTAGGGTTTTATAGGAAGAATTGGTGACTCGTTTAGAACTGGTGTGTAAGGTCAAAATGCTAATGATTTTTAGTTATAATTTCTAAGAGATCAAGCTCAAATTATAGCTTTACAGGGGGAAAAGATAGCTTCAAAGATAATCATATGGTTAGTAGAAAGGCAATGCATTTGGGTGTCATAAACTTTCGATAGAAGAAATTGATTTGAAACTTTGAAATTCCAATAACCTTGGAAACTTCATCTTTTGGACTATTTCCAGTGAAAGGAAAAAGCTAGCTAAACTAACTGAAACATTATAGACCCCCATGCATTTGGTGTTTTATATATTGGTCTTAAAATTGCTAATAGTTGTGCTCAAATATTTCTCTTTATTGGTGAAAATTGTTGTATCCCATTAGCGTTTTATGGGCTTAGCGAAAAGGGGAGAACATGATCTACACTTATTTTTTATTTTTATTAGCATATTGCCCCAAATCCCCCAATACTTTAGTCTTCATTTGTTTTTCTTGTTTTTTTAGGTTATACGGAGTATCTATGATGAGGTTGTTTTGCATTAAGAACATAAAATTGGATGTCTTTAAATTTGACAATTTTTTCTTCTGCATTTTCAGGTTCTCTCTGTTGTCGGGCTTCTCCAAGATGATGTTGATCCTATGGTTTCAGTGATGAAGGTTGAGAAGGCTCCATTGGAATCATATGCTGATATTGGTGGACTAGATGCACAAATTCAGGAGATCAAGGAAGCAGTTGAGCTTCCTCTAACACATCCCGAGTTGTATGAAGACATAGGTATTAGACCACCTAAGGGAGTTATTCTATATGGAGAGCCTGGCACTGGAAAAACATTGCTTGCAAAGGTTTGTTCACAACTTCATTTTCTGTTTGTTCCATTATAGCTGAGTTTCTTTGTCCATGAGGTAGGCTCAAGAAAGCAATGTTTTTCATGACTGGGTGAACATAGTTTATCTATAGGAAAGGAAAAAATAGCACCTTGCAGATGAAATACGCTGCATGTGTAGCATTGACAGGATGCAAAAAATATTACTTCAACTCAATAAATCTATTTTTGGTATTGTATTCTACTCCGTATTATACAAATTCTAATAACTCTAAACATGCTCTAAAACTTTAAAGCATTAGTCATAGGTAAATTCGAACACAGGAAAGTAACTTCCTCTATCAATCTTTTCTCCTTCCCTAGCATTTTCCATGATCAAGCATACAGAGGCAGATCTAGCATTGGAATTGAGTGGGGGGAAAATTTTAATATAGAAAAAAGTATATTGGTCAAAGAGAAACTCAAATTCTGGAAACAAAAGCTTTCATATAAAGATGAAAGTAAAAAAGTATTACAAAAATAAAACAGAACCTAAAAAACCTGAAATTGGTGCACTCCCGTCTCTAGCATCCGGAAAAGTAGAGGAACTCGCAAGAAGCCAGCAGCGAGTAGAAGAATTGTCGAACTGGCACACTCTGACAGCCGGTAAAGTTAGGGTATGCGGCAGAAGATTTGGGCAGCGACGGCTCACCGCCAATGCCCAACCGGTGTGACTGTGTGAGACTCAGAGAGGTGAGAGTCGCGAAGCGCCAAAGAGGATGAGTGGACGACTAGACTTCTGGAGTTTCCAGTTGTGACCTCTGACCTTCAAGAACTGAAGAGAATGAGGGGATGAAGTACGTTGCTTTGCACGTGTGATTGGGCTGTGTTGTTTAATTTAGGGGATTCTGGACTGACTGATGAGCCCGTGGGCTGTCTATTAACAATTTTCTATTGTTTGAGTTCTAAACTTGTTAGGATATACATTTTCTTCTCTTCTGCTGTTGGTACAAAGAATCTAACAGATTGCATGTCTATGATCTTCAGGCAGTTGCTAACTCAACCTCTGCGACTTTCTTGCGCGTTGTTGGAAGTGAATTGATACAAAAGTATTTGGGGGACGGTCCCAAATTGGTCAGGGAACTATTCAGGGTTGCAGATGATCTCTCACCGTCAATTGTCTTCATTGACGAAATTGATGCAGTCGGTACCAAAAGGTAAGCTTTGGTATGCTATTCAGGGTACAATAATGCTGTGGTGCCCTTAATAAACATTTTCCTTGAACAGATATGATGCACACTCAGGAGGTGAGCGTGAGATTCAGCGCACCATGTTGGAACTGCTTAACCAGCTGGACGGTTTTGATTCAAGGGGAGATGTTAAGGTTATCCTCGCCACTAATAAGATCGAGAGCCTTGATCCCGCCCTACTTCGGCCAGGTAGAATTGACCGGAAGATTGAGTTTCCACTTCCCGATATTAAAACCAGGCGTAGAATTTTCCAGGTAATTTATATCCATTCATGGGCGCATAGCTTATTCAAAATTTTGTAACGAAGTGCAAAACAATCTTTAATTAAGTATTTTTTTAAAAATTGGTGATCAGATACACACAGCAAGGATGACGTTGGCTGATGATGTCAACTTAGAAGAGTTTGTGATGACTAAGGATGAGTTTTCTGGAGCTGATATCAAAGCAATTTGCACTGAAGCTGGT